TGAGGCCAACTGGGGGCTTGTCTGTGTCCTCAGGGTCACCTGAGTGGTGCAAATGGGTGTGGAGCCTTCTTGGAACTGCTGAAAGGACTGCGTTGTGGAGCTGTGCTTTTTGCAGGATGTTTTCTGCCCCGTGTCCCTTCCCTGTTGAAGACAGGAGCAGGCTGTGGGGAGGAGTCTGTGCTGTCTGCATCTCAAACTGAAGCACAAATAGTTCCTGTGGTCTGCAATCTCCCACACCATTTGAAGGGTCTTCATCCCAAAGGGCATAGCTAAGGGTCTGGGGAGATTCTCAGCCATCCAGGTCATGGGGTAGTTTGTGAATTGTCCAATGCTTGGGAGTCTCTTTCCCCAAGGACACAGACGTATGGGGAGCAATACCCTTCTCTCCTTATTTACTCAGATACTGAGGGAGGCTGGATTAGAAAAAGGGGAGCATGATTTAAAACTACTCACTGAATTGGGACTGGGAACTCTGCCGCGAAGCAACGCAGTCATAAAGCACAAATTCACACGACTGCACCAAGTTATGACGGCAGTTTCAGAGCTCCCGGTTGCCGTCTCTAAGCAAATACCCTGCAGTTACAGCATTCTGAAGATATGGGACTCCTGTTGGGAGTCTTTGCCCTCACAAGCTGGGAGTGAAGGTTGCAATTTCATCTCTCTCTCTCTCCTTCCCTCATCATCTATCTACCGTATTTTTCGGAGTATAAGATGCAATTTTTTTACCCCTAAGAGAGGGTGAAAATTTGGGGGCGTCTTATACAATGAATGTAGCCCCCCCCCCACCCTTCGACCTCTGCGCGTCCTCTCAAACAGCCTCTCAAGCAGATTTTTTTTTCTTGATTTTCCTCCCCCCAAAATAAGGTGCGTTTTATACTTCTGAGGGTCTTATGCTCTGAAAAATATGGTATCTATCATCTATCTACAGTATATCTGTCTCTCTGTATCATCTCTCTCTCTCTCATCTATCTATATCTACATATATCTATCTCGTATGCTGCTCATCTCACCAGAGGCAATTCTAGGCAGCTTACAGATATTGAATTAAAATGTAGTATAAAACATTAAAACAATAAATAAGGGGGAGGGAGCGAAGTGCACAAATGGCAATAACTGCTATTACAAGAAATGGTCATAAGTCTCATTTGGTGCTGTTGTAATTTTGAACAGTTGCTGAACACGTGGTCACTGAATGAGGACTTACTATGTAAGGCATGCTATGCTGGTAACACTAATAGCTGAAACTGCAAAGGATCTGCAAGCTCCAGTAATAAAAGTTAAGGAAAAAAAACCCCCCAAAACAAACGGGTCAGAAGGCCAAACTAACAGCCACAGCTGGAACAACCTGCCTTAGGACTGAAAGTGAAGATACTGAAGTGGCAGATGTCTCCTGCCTTCTAGGATCAGCCTCCCACTGTAAAGGAACAGGCAGCCAAAAGATACCGCACAGGCCAGGTCTTGTTAAACCAGCCATCGAAGCCTTGGAAAAGAGATTTCAAGGCTGTTAGGTGTCTATCCCTACAAAGATCAGCAGTGGCAGCAGCAGTCTGGGTCTGGTCCAGGAAAAGGGGGTGAGTGACAGGTGCCCCTGCCACTCCTTTGAGCAGGTGGCCAAGCATCTGCTGCCCAGACAGGAATGCAAAACCTCTCTCCTTAAGGCCATCAGTGCACCAAGCCTGGCCTTGGAGAAGCCGCTGCAGTTCAGTGCTGGGCTTACAGCTGACACTTCACGTATGCCACGTGTCAGGCCGCACCTTTCCAAGTGGAGAGTCTCAGCCCTACCAACGCCTCCCAGCCAGGAGGGTCTGAGGCCTCCCACAAAAGTTCAGAAGGAGGTTGCCTCGGGGCGTTGGGGAAAGCCCAAGCAGAGCAGCCCTGCCAGGGCCCCAGCAGCCCTTGCCCTCCCTGTTTCTTCCATCCCTGGATTTCAACCTATTTCAAGGGCAACCTTTTTCTCCCTCACCTTAGTGCAGGGATGGGCAGCTATGGTTGGCTCAGGAATTCCAGGAGTTGGAAGTCCACAGGTTGTAAAGGGGCCATAGTTGCCCACCTCTGCCTTTGTGTCTCCGTGAGGACCAGGGTTAGGTCAGGGCATCGTATGCTGTGTGGGGCCAGGAAATGTGGTAGCCTTTGACATTCTCTTGTGACCACATATACATCAAGAATCGCTGCAGACTGGGAGACTCTCCACCAACTGCCATCCCACTCCACCCCCGACAAAACATGCTTTTGAAATTCAGTGGCAAACTGTTGAACAAAACATGGTGCAATTTCCTGCCCATCTTGGTGGGAAACCAAAACCAGAGTGCCAAAAATGGCACAGAAGCAATTAGAGAAGTTGAACAGGTTCAAATGGCTTCCAGTTCAAAGTGCTTGAGGTGCCTTTAAAGGCCCACATGGCTTAGGACTTTGGTATCTACAGTAGTGTGTCTCTACCTCAACAATGGTATGAGAGTAACAAGAGTTGGAAGGGACCTTGGAGGTCTTCTAGTCTGACCCCTTGCTCAAATAGGAGACAAGCGGTTGTCCAATCTCTTCTTAAAAACTTTTAGATGCATTGGCTGGGAATTCTGGGAGTTGAGGTCCACACATCTCAACACTGTACCAGTCCAGAGGACCACCTGCTCCCGGTGATTTTCAGGTGTCCAGAAGGTTGGGAAGGGCAGTCCAAGTCTCTGCTCTTAGGAATGGCCACCTTCAGAGGCCCCCGAGTTGAGCCTGCTTAGTCGCAGCCTCTTCTCTTTGGCACAACTGAACTTCCAAGCTCAGATGAACTCCCCACCCTGTGGAGCTTCCAGAAAGTAGTTCAAAGCTTTTAAAGTCAGTCCTGAAAGTGAAGACAGTCTGAGCAGCAGGACCCTTTTTGGAGGGTGAGTGCTAATAAAAGTTATTTTTTAAAAATAAAGGCTGAATGTTGATGTCCGAGTGTTCCTTGGATGCTGGAGCTTTATGGTTATTTTGTTCTATTGATTTGCTTTCTTGCTGAACACTCCCAGACTTCCCCAAATGTCAGCTCTTCTTCCTCAGGTCAGTTTTCCTCCCCCTGTAATGACTCAGCTCCTCCCCACGTTTTAGGGCTAGGGCTAGGGAAGAGACCAGCCACCTTCTGGCTGAGGCCACATACCCTCACGCATGCTGCATGGCCCTCACTTGCTTCCCAGGTTCACGAGAATCTCTTCCCTTTTTCCCACCGGGCCTCTTGTTTACTCTGGTTTGTGCCAGGGGTGGGGTGGGGGGGAGCGATGTTGAGGAGGAGGGAGTTGAGGGCTCACTTCTCTTCCGGCTTTGCACAACCCTGGTGTCAGCAATCACAGCAGCTGCAGAGTTTTGCAATCCATCCCTGGAGGGACTGCTCCAGGATCCCCCAGATGTATATGGCAGCTCGGGGGTCACTTCTTCAGGAATCAACCAGAACAACCGTAGCACATCATCCAAGTTCCAGTTCCAGACTGGGCCAACAATGGCTGTGGCCAGAGGGCTTCTTCCCCTGCAGGTCCCCATCCAGCCCCTCCCCCACCTCTTCTGGGTTTGGGGTTCTGCTTTCCATCTGCAGAGTCAACTTGCTCTTTTCCTTTGGCACGCACCCCTCCCCAGCTACTTCCTATTTGCAGATAGATTGCGACACTTGAGTCTCCCTTTTCTTCAGTTATAACAGGTTTTCCCTCCCTCCTCTTAATGTTTGGAATGAAACTACTGGAGAGACAGAGACAGAGAGAGAGAGACAGAGAGAGAGGGGGGGGGGAAGGAAGGAAGGAAGGAAGGAAGGAAGGAAGGAAGGAAGGAAGGAAAGAAAGAAAGAAAGAAAGAAAGAAAAAGAAAGAAAGAAAGAAAGAAAGAAAGAAAGAAAGAAAGAAAGAAAAGGGAGGGCAGGCTGTTCTGTATTCTACGCCCGCCCATAAGAGTGCAGGATGGGAAAGCTTCCTCTTGCATGCATAAGAAGGCAAGTTCTCAGGACCAAACCTCCGGAGCTGTCCTTGAGGGCCTCTCCACCTTTCCTACCCAGGAAAGAGCTGCTACTTTACTTCCAACAAATGACAATTATATGATCCTGTGATTTTCTCCAAGGTGTTTTGCCTGAACAGGTATAGAGTTTCCTGCTTGACCAGTGGGTTGGACTAGACGACCTCCAAAGCCCCTTCCAACCCTGATATTGTTATTTGTTACTCACGTGAGTCAAAAGCAGGGGGGTCCATGACTGTGCAATTGAAACCCCCCCCCCATTAATTATTTTGCAATACCTCCCAAAAAGGGGTAGGGTTTTAGTTGTGTAGTTACAACTCCCGTCTTGCCTTCTTGACCTCTCTGCAGGCAACCCTGTCCAGGGAAGCTGATCCTGGGGTCAATGCATCAATGCAACCTACTTTGAAAGCAGCAGCCGATGCTCTTTCTAGGCCAAGAAGTCCCACCTGCTAAGGAGGCAACCCCACCTGAGCCTCAGGGGCACCTCAAAGGGCCCTCTCCTCTCCAAGGGACACTGGTCTTAGAAGCAGCCCGACTCTTCTTAGGAGCAGCATCTCCCAAGCAGCTTCTGAGAGAGCTTTCAGCCCCAACTGAGCAGGCCCACTTTCACCTCTCCCCAGTGTTATTGGCCCCCTCAAGCAGGGACAGGGCTTAAGGGCTGGGAGGGGCTGGGCCTAATCTTCAGCTCAAGCTACTTAGCAGGATGGGCTGGGCAACTGGGGAAGCACCATGGGCCACCAGACCTTCTCTGCAGATCAACCGAGGATGGGTGGAACTAACTGGCATGCCCTCCCCTCCCCTCCACGTAGGCAGATAACAACAGCCCCAAACCGAGAGTGAACAGCTGATGTCGGGGAGATGAGTTCTGCTGATGGCTTTTGTGTATTTCAAGAACCTTCCAGGCCAGAATTCGGCCTCTGTCCTGCATGTTGAGAGCATTTGAACATGGGCTACATGCAGACTCTCCAGCTCCCTTTTGCCTGTCTCGAGATCACAGGGAGAGCTGCGATCCTGATAATGAAGAAAAAGCACCCACAGGATCAAAATATAAAAATCTTGCCTTCATTTAGGGGAAAAGAGCATTGTAAGAGTTTAGAGGGGTGCTGTGGACAGTTTGCCGCTGGAGGTTGAGAGCCTCGCATTTTGCAGACTGGGGTTCATGGAAAATGGCACAACAGCCGCTCCTCTTGGTCCATTCTGTGCAAAGATGATGGGATGCGGTTCATCTGTGCCCAGAGCTCCCTCCCCTGAGTCTCAGGCGCAGGGCTGGGCCTAGGATTCACTGGCCTCCATCCGTCCGTCCGCCTTCTCTGCAGGAGATTCTGAGTTGCTGCTGCAGCCCTTTTCAGGCAGGGAGGCCAAGGCTGAGCGCTGGGACTTCTTTAGGAGGGAGAGGTGGGACCGGGATTTCAGGTGAGCTGCCAACGAGAGAGTCATTCAGAATATTGCTCTAGACATGACAAGCCACCTTGCTTTTCTAAATATAACAACTCTTTTAGCGTATGAGGAAGGGCCTAATTCTGCATAACACAAGTAATACTCAAATTACTACAGTTCATTTAGTGACCGTTTGAAGTTAAAACGGAACTGGAAAAAGTGACTTATGACTGTTTTTCACACTTATGACCAATGCCGCATTCTCCTGGATCAAAATTCAGATACTTGGCAATGGACTCATTGCCCCCGGGTCATGTGACCACCTTTTGCGACCTTCTGACGAGCAAACTCAATGGGAAACCGGATTCACTTAACAACCATGTTACTAATTTAACAACTGCAGTGATTCAGTTAATGTCATGGTCGGCTCGCTATGCAAACCCTGCTCGCAACCAGACATCAGCAATAGGAGCGGGGGGGCGGGGAGGTATTGGAATGCAAGTGTGCCGTCTTGAAGCCTGAGACAGATCCAGGACCCCAAAGTCTGAGGCAGAGAGACTGTTCCCAAAAGAACGCCAGTGGAACCGATTGGCTAGCCCAGTGCTTCTCAACCTTGGTAGCTTGAAGATGGGTGGGACAAGTCCACCCATCTTCAAGCTTCCAAGGTTGAGAAACACTGGGCTAGATAAATGGACAGTGGGAGAAGCAGGGGAAAGGCCAAGTTTTCCTATGCTGTTTGCAGCCGAAAATGTTGGCTCTTCCACTTCTGTACCCATAGGGAATTTTCAGTAAAGTTAGACTCTTGGTAAAAAGATGTCTCAGGAGTCTCCTTTGCCGCCTCAAGCAGTGGGACAGTTGACACTTAACAACGGTGGCAAGTAAGGTCATAAAACGGGACAAAATTCACTTAAAACTGTCTTGCTTAGCAACAGAAATGTTAGGCTCAATTGTGGTTTTTAAGTCAAGGACTACCCACAGTGGGCTTCTGAGCTTTCTGAGAAAATATTCTGCCTTTGGCCCAACTTCCCAAAATAAGATATCAATCTGCAAATCATTCATACTGAATTTAAGGAGATCCAGACAGAATGGTTAATATCCAAAGCCTGCTACACGCGAGTTTGGGTTTGGGCAGAAGAATCTTGAGAAGGCAGGTTGAACTGCCCTATTTTAAAATGTCAAGTATTTTCCACCTAAACCACACTCAGTTTCTTGCAATTGAACACCTAGCCAAGTATGTCCCAAGCAACAGAGTGAGAATTATAGGCCCTGGATTCCTAAGGTAAGGCTGAATTAAGTGAAAAGGGAAGGTTGATGCAACAGAGCAGAAAATGGGCTGAATATGAGAACAGCATTGCTGAACACCCATAAGTAACACACAACTACTCAGAACAGGGTTTCTCAATCTTGGTGACCTGTGGACTCCCAGAATTTCATGCTGGTTGAGGAATTCTGGGAATTGAAATCCACATACAGTATCTTAAAGTCACCAAGGTTGAGAAGCCCTGCCATAGAAGAAAAGGCCCAGCACAGTCCATGCAAGCTTTCTACTAGAGGGACACTTTAAAAATATGATTCCTACCGGGGACTTCCGGTGGCACCACAGGCACCGAAGACGCTCCTTTTGCGAGCGCCAGCCTCACGATCTCGTAAAGCCGCTAGAACAGTGCAAATCAGCTGTCTAGCGGCTTGGAAACTTTCTCCTCGGGAAAAGGGGAGGAAGAGAGCAGACGGGCCTAGGTAGAGCTCCCCAAGGAACCCCAGGAACAATTCTGGGGCTCGAAGGGTGAGAGCTCCCTGGAAGCCCAACAGAGCTCTGGATCCGGGACGTTTCTGCTTTAAGCAGAAGAAGACGCCGCGACCACCCCTGCAAACAACGCTTGGAATAAACATCATTCAGAAGCAGGCTGAGCAAACTCAGGAGAGATCTTGCAAGTATTGAACTTTAACTCCAAATGTGTATTACTTCCTTCTGACTCATTAAGGGGACCTGACTCATTGAGGATCCAGTTTGTGGGGGCAATAAGCTGACTTTGTATAAATATACAAAAGTATGAAGGCTACTGTGTAACGCATTGTAAGCGCCCTGAGTCTCCGGAGAAGGGCGGCATATAAATCAAATTAAAAAAAAAAATGGGGGGAGAAAGTGAAACCAAGATGGCGATTGAGCTTTAATGGGGCGTGAAAGTGAAAGTTAAAAAGGAAAGTTTTGTTTAGCACTGGCAGCCCCTGTTCAAAATTAGAGATTTCTGCTTTTAAAAAAAAGGATTAAAGGCTAAAAAGACTACAGCAGTGATCTTTAAAAAGAAAAAGGATTGATATTATTTAAAGACTGGGAATTTTTGGATTTGATGGATTTATTGTTCTGGCTGCTGTATAATTGGAACTAAAAATGGCTTCAAAACAAATAAAGACTATTGTACCCAAAAGTGCTGAGAGCTCGCCAGCTCAAATGTCCAAATTGCAATTGCTCTCTGTTCCAACGGACCAACAATATTAACACTTGAAATGTTGCAGGAAGCCCTTAAAACACAAGCCTCTGTTACGAAAAAAAAATTGCTTCGGTGTTTGAGGATAAAATTCGAGATATTGCTGAGGAGATAGTTCAAATTAAAGAGATTATTCAAAAGCGAAATCAAGAAATTAGAGAAGATATTATCATGGCAGTTCAAGGTCTGGCAGGCCATATTGAAGCAGTAGATGAAAAAGTGGAAGAAATTAAGCAGTCTAATGAGAACTTGGAAAATAAAATGGTGGAGGTCCAGGGTAAGATGGAAAGAGCAGAGGCTGATGTGATAATGATACAATATAGAGATATGGAATTTGCTTTGAGAATAAGAGGCCTCAAAGAAAATAAGTAAGAGAATTTGAGAGAGATCTTTTCAGAAGCATTTGCACAGATAATGGGAGATCAAAAAGCAAATCTTGAATGGCAAATTGACAAAATTTATCCTGTCAATTCATGGGTTGCCAGACAGAAACATTTACCAAGAGACATTGTAGTCTATTTTACAACAAGGAGAATACGCAATGAAATCCTACAAATCACTTTTAAAAATAAACTTCAAGTGCAGGGGCAGGAGGTTTTAATACTGAAAGAAATCCCCCCCAAAATGTTGAGAGCCAGAAGGGATTATTCCTTTCTGGTGGAAGAACTGAGAAACCGTCAGATACAGTACAGATGTGAAGTTCCAGCTGGATTAGTGGTGAACTATTCAGGAAAAAGATATCATCTTAACTCAGTGTGGAAGGCAGTGTGGAAGGAGATTTTTACACCAATGTATTAAAGGCTGGATGCCCACAGCCCCCAGAAGCTAGAAGGAAGACGGAAGCAGAGGGGGCAAGAAAGGGGGAGAAGGAAGAATTGTTGGCTCAGGCCCAAAAGGGAGCTTTGATTACTCAAGAAGAATTAATACAACTTTCGACTACTGTTCAAGCCTTGGAGATAGAAGAACCTAAGGATCAAAGACAGACCCGAGCGGCAGCCAAGCGTCAAGAAGAATTAAGAGTGCAGCAACTTCAGATGATTCAAGATACTACAAAAACAGAAGCAGTGGGAGGAGCAAGGCCAGAAAGTAAAATGCATGGAGATTTCCAGCAGATGCTCCAAATGCTTCAGGGGGCCAAGAATGGCAACTAGATTTTTGACTTGGAATGTTAATGGCCTAAATTCACCACAAAAGAGGAGAAAAATATTTCATTATTTGAAACAGTTTAAAAATGATGTAATTTGTTTACATAGAGACTCATATTAGAAGTAAAGATCAAAAATATTTAATAAATGTAAGGTTAGGTATACATTTTGTTGCATCTGCTCCCGAGAAGAAGAATGGTATAGTTATATACCTAAAAAAAGATTTAATTGCCAAATTAATTGAAGCAGATGATCAAGGAAGATTTATAGCAATTGAACTTTTAATAAAAGGAGAAAAAATACTTTTAATTGGAGTCTATGCACCGAACCAACAACAGGAAAAATTTTATAAGCTTTTACATTCCAAGTTATTACAATGGGATTATAAATCACGTATCTTACTGGGCGACTGGAATGGAGTTTTGGACACTAAAAAAGACAAGAAGGGACTCTTGCAGAATATCTCAACGCTTTCCAGATTGCCAAAATCGTTTTTTGAAATGATGGATGATATGGAGTTGAGAGATATCTGGCGAGAGAAGAACCCCGAAGAAAAAGACTTTACCTTTTTTTCTGATAGACATCAATCCTTCTCTAGGATTGATTTTATATTAATTACTAATGATCTTTTTTCTAGGGTGAAGAAGACGAAGATCTGCCCAAGAGTTTTAACGGATCATAGTCCAGTTTGGATGGAATTAGAGTATGGAATGGGATCTAAGAGGTCTTGGAGGTTAAATGAAAATCTGTTTAGATATGAGGAAAATGTAACAGAATGTAAAAAATTTATGAGAGAATTTTTTATTATAAATATGCATAAGGGTACATCTATGGAAATGATTTGGGATGCAAGTAAAGCATATATGAGAGGTATTTTGATATATTTGAATAATAAACACAGACGTAAACAGGAAAAAAAAAGGAAGGACTTAGAAGAGGAAATTAAAAAAAAAAGAACAAGCTTTGATATTGAACCCAGCAGACAAGAAAACAAAAGAGGCAATTAATTTATTGCAAGGGCAATTGCTGAGCACATTGTAAGCCGCCCTGAGTCTTCGGAGAAGGGCGGCATATAAATCAAATTAAAAAAAATAAAAAAATAAAAAAAAATTAATATGTTAATGGCAGATCAGGTTGCAACTAATTTGCAATATGCTAAACATAATACTTTTTGCAATGCTAATAAACCAGGGAGATGGTTAGCATATTTGTTAAGGAAAAAACAAAAGTCATGGACCATAGAGAAAATAGAATATAAAGGTAAAGAGGTTTATCAGCAAAATATGATAAAAAAAGCATTTTTAGAATTTTATGCGAGGTTGTATGCTAGTGATAAAATTCAAAGTATAGATATAGATAGATACTTACAGAAAGAGAATATTCCTACAATTACAAAAGAGCAAAGGGAAGGTCTAAATCAACCAATAACTTCCGAGGAGATTATGTTTGCAATTAAGCAGTTGAAAATGGGTAAAGCTCCTGGGACGGATGGTTTGACAGCTGCTTATTATAAACACCTGCAGTCAGAAATGGTGGGACCGCTCAAAGAATTATTTACTAACATACAATCTGGAGGACCTGTTCCCCCATCCTGGAGGACAGCTTATATTTCTCTGATTCCAAAGGAGGAGCAAGACCACACTCAGCCAAAAAACTATAGGCCCATATCACTTTTAAATATAGATTACAAGGTTTTTGCTAAAATACTAGCAAATAGCTTAATGACAGTCATGAAACAAATGATTCATAATGATCAAACTGGTTTTATAAATGGCAGACAAATGAAGAGTAATGTAAGGCAAGTTGTTAACTTATTGGAGTATTTGGGGAAGAACAGCCAAATCCCTGCGGAGCTGATATTTCTTGATGCGGAGAAAGCATTTGATCGATTGAACTGGCAATTCTTATTGAAAATAATAAAAAAGATGCAGTTTGGAGAATATTTTACACAATCTATTAATGCAATATATCAGAAACAAACAGCGCAAATAATAATTAATGGTAGTTTAACGGATACTTTTAACATAGAAAAAGGAACAAGACAAGGATGTCCTTTGTCTCCATTATTGTTTATCTTGACCTTGGAATTTCTGTTAAGTAAGATACGTGGGTCGGATAAAATAAATGGAATTAAAATTAGGCAGTATGACTACAGATTACGAGCATTCGCAGACGACTTAGTTGTTACTTTAACCCAACCATTACAGTTGGTTGTAGGTTTAATGGACATAATTAATCAATATGGACAAGTATCTGGATTTAAAATAAATGCAGGGAAAACGAAGATAATAACTAAAAATATGACTATAAATCAAAAAGAGGAATTAGAAAAACTAACAGGATTTGAAATTGTTAAAAAAGTTAAGTATTTAGGGGTCTATATTATGACATCAAATGTGAAATTATTTAAGCATAATTATGATCCGTTGTGGCAAAAAATACAGAGAGAGATGGAAAACTGGAAAAAATTACAATTATCCTTGTTAGGAAGAATAACAGCAGTGAAAATGAATGTTTTGCCTAAGTTTTTGTTTCTTTTTCAAATGATACCAATACTTAAAAAAGATGAGAATTTGAAGATATGGCAGAAGGGTATTAATAATTTTGTCTGGGCAAGGAAGAGACCGAGAATAAAACAAAAAATAATGCAGGATATACGTGAAAGAGGTCGTCTCAAAATGCCCAATTTAAGACTATATTATGAGGCAGGTGCTCTGTCAGCAATTAGTGACTGGATGAATTTAACAGAAGAAAGAATATTGAATATTGAGGGATATGATTTGGTTTACGGTTGGCATTCTTATTTATTATATGATAAGAAAGTGGATAAGGCTTTTAAAAATCACATATTAAGGAATGCTTTATTGCATGTCTTGAAAAAGTATCAGTATAAATTAAACTATAAGTTACCAATGTGGGCAATACCCAGACACGCGATAGAGAATATAAGTGTAGACCAAAAACAAGATGTGATTACTTATAAAGAGCTTCTTAATAAGGAAGGAGGTATACTACAATTAAAATCTTTGAATCAACTACGAGAAGAAAGGATAATACAAACATGGTTTCAATATGTACAGTTGCAAGCTAGATGGAGAGAAGATCAGAAAATTGGGATTTTGCAGAATGAGGAGAATTTGGTAAAACAGATTAGAGGAGGGAAGGGGGGGAGGAGGGTTGGGAAAAATTGTTGTAATACTTTTAAAACTTTTTAATTAAAAAAAATGATTCCTACCTACTTCATCATCTCCTTCTGCTCCGAGTTCCATTTAGACTTAAATTTTTAAAATTTAAAAACTACTATCATGTGGAATCCGGTAGTACCCCTTCAGACTAACATTTTATTAAAAGGCAAAAGGATTTATGAACTGCCAGTCACTTCATCAGAAGCATGGTGTGGGTAAAACAAGAACTGTGACTGTTTCTTTTTTTTATTTTTTTAAAATAGTAATTAATAGTAATGTTATAAAAGTTATAACTACAAAGATAAAAAATAAGAACTAAAAAAAATAAAAATAGAAGGCGCAGAAGAGAAGAAAGAAAAATATTATGTAGAGAAAAAGAAAAGAAATATATAAAGAAATGACTTCCCCCTGTACCCAAAAATATAAATAATATTAGTTAACTTTTCACCTTTTAAAATATAATAAATAATCTCTTCTTCCCATACCCCGTCTCTTATCTATAAGCAAATCCTTAAAAATCTGGTCATTTCAGTCCTGATCAGCAAATGTCTATTAAGGCTTACCAAAGATAACAACAGATCTCTGTTAGCCATGATCAAATAAATCAACTTTATATAACTTCTTTTTATTTTTTAACAATCTTGATCTTCAGTCCCTTCAAGTAAAAGGTAGAGGAGTCCCTGTGGATTTTATTCCGCTAGTGGTTGCTGGCTAGAAGGGGCGCTGCTCATCTCTGTTTAAAGGCCACTGAGTCAGTGTTGTCCAAAGAGATTTCCATGGTCATGTGGCCAGCATGATGCCATGAAGCACTGTTATCGTCCCACTGACATGGTACCTATTTATCCACTCATATTTGCCTACTTTCCAACTGCTAGGTTGGCAGGAGCTGGGGCGAGGATGGGAGCTCACTTCATCACATGGCACTTGGTCTTGAACCTGGGCAGCTAGCTTTCCAGCCAACAAGCCTCCACTAAGTCATATCGTCCCAGTCCCTTCAAGCAATGTCCTAAAACCCCCAGCAAGATTTACCTTTCCATTCTCTGTCCCCGATGATGACTCGGCTGCACAGCTCACACAATTGGCAACTCTGCTTGTCCTTTGCTGGCATCGGCTCCAGCCTGAGGGGCTCCATCGGAGGCTTCTGGCCCTGGGGGTTAAAGCCTCAGCCAGTCACTGGATGCCAGGGAGGATGCTCCCATTGTGCCAGCTTTCTCCGAGATCAGCAATGCTCTAGATGATAGCTCTTTTAATGCATGGGACCTTCAGCACTCTTTCTTCTGGTCAGGAGAACCTGTTTTATCTTTCAAATAAGCGTATCAGAGGCCCCAATCTAGAGATTGGCAAGACTGTTATTAAGATCACCCAAATGGCAAAGAAAGGCACAGAAGGTTGACCTCCTCAGAACTCTTCATGAAGCCTGCTGGTGCTAACAGGAGGGCAGAGGACAAAAGCAGAAGAGTCCAGAGTCTGGCCAGGTGTTTGACAGAATAATAGATTGGAAGGGACCTTGGAGGTCTTCTATTCCAACGTTCAGCTCATACAGGAAACCCTGTCCAACCTCTCTCTCACAGTTACTATTTCTGAGCCAGGTAGCACCAATTATATACCTGTGCATTTGTTTTTTCTTGCCTATGTGTAAAACCTTACATTTCTCTACACTGAATTTCATTTTCTTAGATAGGGCCTTGTGTTCAAGTCTGTCAAGAGCCTTCTGGAACTTCTGGGGTGTTGGCTATTCCTGCCAGTTTGATGAGTTCATTCTCAAGAAGAGGAAATGTTTAAAACCAGTGGAAGCTGTTACCTGCATTCAGGGCAAGGAAACCATGTTTCTGCTGACTCAAAAGATATGAAAGGTAATCCTTCCACTTATCACCTTGGGAGGGTGGGGGAATTCTCACTAGTCCTGCTCCATCTTTCTCTTTTGCAGGGATGGGGCAATACCTTGTCTCTAGGGCAGGTATGGAAAACCCTCCGCTGGGTCTTTCTGGTTCCCCAGAGCTGCCCACTCCCCGTCTCCTGGGGCTCCTCCACTTGATTGGGCCTTCAGGGACACACACGGTGAGCACAAAGATCTCTCTGCTCCAGACCGAGGGTCTCAGGGGACCCAAGAGGGCAGTGGCCAGTCAGAGCAACGATCATCAGCAGACTCGAAGTGAACCAGAGAAAATCTCCTCCAGGGCAATCTGATGGTTGGTTACCTTCAAGAAGCTCTCCACAATCTGAATGGCTGGCTCCAACACACTTTTGTCCCACTGAGAGAGATCAGAGACGTCTAAGCCATAAACGGGGGGGACGTTTGATCCAGGACCTGGAGGGATCCATAAAAAAAGAGCATCATCGGCTTTGTGGCCGGAGGCTCCTCTCCCAGCAAAAGGAGTAGGGAGGGCCAATAAGGTGTAATGTTTGGGAAGGTGGGGGATATACTGAAATATTCCGCTGTGAATATTACATAGAACTCGCAGAAGCTGCCAATTCCTTTGAGGCGAGAGCTGCCGCCGGGAGGTCCTCCAACAAACTCAGTCTGCCCCAAAGGAGAAGCTGGCTGAGGGCATACCCTGCCCTCCTCCCCCATAATCTAGCTTCTCTCTGCTTTTCATGCCAATGGGTCTAACTCACTCAGAGGGCAAGTGGGCAGCGTTTCTAAGAGGACTGGACCCTCCTCCTGGGGCCTGTTTATCCTGACTGGGTCTCTCTTTCGATTTTACCAATGCATCATTTTACCCTTTTAATCTGCTATATTGCTTCATATGGCTAATCACTCGGCTGATATTATCCTGTTTCTGGTGCACAGTGAGGAGAAAAAGTCCCTCGTCATCCATTCCTTGGGGGGGGGGAAGCACAGGATTGATCAGAGAGGAGTTTCTAGAAGGGCTACACTGAACTGTGGCCTCTCAAGAGATAACTTTCTGCTTAAAACAAGACACCAGGTGGAGAGGAGCCAATCCCCTCCCCATCCTGCCTGATGCAAGACCAAGTGCGCCTGTCCAGAGGAGCGATCGCAGGAGAGGGCGGCCTTCCTCCAGACGGTGCCCCATGTCTGCCAGGGCAGGCTGAGTCGAGCAGCAGCAGGACAATAGGCCTCCCAGGGCCAAAATCCGAGCAGGTGATGCCTTTGATTGCCCTGACCACAAAGCCCGGCTCCTGCCACACCTGTCGGCTGCTGCTTGGCAGAGAAGCGAGCACGGGCTGCTCAGCACCTGGCCAGGAGAAGGCCCCGAGTCTCCCTCCTCTCCACCCACTTCTCAGGTTTCATGACCTTCTCCTAAACCCACCAGCAGCCTTTCAACAACCCCACACCCCAGCCTGAGGCAAGGTGGGACAGTCCAGTGGTGGTGGGGGCAGCAAAACAGTCTCATTTCCCCCCCACCCTCCCACCAGCTGGATCACGGAGGACAGCTGTGAGTTGGGGCCTCTCCCTCCATCTTGCCCAAGAGGGAAAAGACAAGAGAACAGGAGGCCCCCTTCCGGGTACCTCTGGCTTCAGGCGAAAGGGCAGCCCCTCAGGCACAGCTGGTCTCTTCTCCAGAATAAAACCTTCTCTAGGGGAACGCACTCTGCACATGCTTAAAAGAAGCCTTTACAATTTAAATTTTAGGCTTGGATAACCTTGAACTACGCCGTCTACCTTGAACTACGCCATTAGTACACTAGATTATCTACCTTAACGTCCTACCTATTAATGACTTCTTTAACTTCAACCGCAATAACACAAGGCCTATCAATAGATACAAACTCAATGTAATTCACTCTAATCTTGAATGCAGAAAACACGACTTCAGCAATAGAGTAGTAAATGTCTGGAACACTCTACCTGATCCTGTTGTTAGTTTCTCTAACCCCCATACCTTTTACCTTAAACTGTCTACCGTGGACCCTACACGTTTCTTAAGGGGTCTCTAAGGGGGCGTGCATAAGCGCACCAGCGTGCCTACCATCCCTGTCCTACTGTCCCCATTTATATGTACTCATTTTGTGTGTTTATGGCTATCTTTTGCCTATGTATATCCATTTATTTCTGCCATTTTTTTCATGTGTCCATGTCTATACTGATACTTGTTTCCTTGTACTTGTTGACAAACAATTAAATAAATGAATAAAATAAATAAAATTGTTGTCCATTCCCCATGACACACTTGAATGAGTTGTGGAATGAGCTTTGGTTCAGGATTAGGGTGCCCAGCATGCCAAGAGGAAAAGGGGCTGAGCAAAAGAGCAGCAGGGAGGAAGGACTTACGTCTCAGGAACCGGTTCTGGATCCACTTGTTCTGCTTCCGGGCATACCTCTTGGTCACCATCTTGAAGTCCTGAAGGGCTGAAAGAGTTCAGGGTAAGGGACGGCAGAGCCAGGAGAGGCTGGCCCTAGACCAGTCAGGCCAGTACAAACCGGTCTCACAGTAGTGTGAGGAAGGCACCACAAATTCTTTATTTATTTCCTCTGGACCAGCCAGATTTTAGTGTGCCAGAAAATGTGTTCCATCTCCCAGAACATGGAACCATCCGTTACGCCAAAGCTCGCCTAATTCTCTGGCCTGCTAATCAAACAAACCACAGCCTGCTCTCCGGAAGTGCTCCCCCCCACAAGCAGATCCTCACCTTGGTCCAGCAACTGGTGCCTGACCTCCTCTGGACTCTTGTCCTCAGAAATCAGGAACTGGTGGAATTCCTTGAAGCCGATAGACTGGAAAATGCCCTGCTGATAATCCTGGCTGGGGAAGAGATGAGAAGTAGTTGGCCAACATTGCCGGCATGCTGGCTGTCGATCACTCAGGCGGAATCTGGCCTCCCAAGACAGCTCAGCCCTTCACATCCCACATCCCACACCCCATGGCCAGTGTCCACCTCCAAGCAGGACAGGGGCCTCACCTGTTCTCAGCCACTTTCTCCTGGTTGTATTGCCGGTGAAAGTTCTGCAGCTCCTCCAGCAGCCCAGCCTCCATCATTTCATCCACCCGCTGGTCCAGTCGTGTCTCCAGAACTGAGGGAAACCCAACAGACAAAAAAATCCGGCTACAACCGACAAAAGCTCTGGGAAGTGACGGGGTGTCAGTTCATCCCAGAGAATGGCTGCCAAGCACACAACATGACCAGTGATTAAAACTGCAGGTGTTCCAGAAGGACCTGCCAAAGCCAGAAGGGCCCTGGCTCCTCCACCTCCCTCAGCCTGAGAGGGGAAGGCTGGCCGTAGTGGTCAGACCCTCCCTGTTGTTTACCTGCCTGTTCTGCATGAAGCCAGAAGATGCAAGAATGGGGGTACTTCAGGGGACCTCCCAGGGGTCCTCCCCCTTTTTCCTCATGCTGCCGTCGCAGCAGCTCACTGTGGGGGATGCCAGTTTGTTCAAACAGCTGCAAGCTCCTACAGGAGAAGGAGGGTTGGCTTGGAGGGCACTGGGCTACGCCACAGAGCGAAGGATGGCACCAGACCAGAGGACAGAAATGTCAGAGAAAAGCATGCTTGCAGAAGCAGCCAGGCCAGACCTGCCCCTTGCTGAAGAGGACAGCACTGTGTGATGTCTGGCAGAGGGAATCCCTTCAAACCATCTGGAGGAAACAGGAAAGCTGGAACCACAGCAACGTTTTCGCTGAGCCCTGCAGTAGCTCCAAAGAGGCGGCCACCATCCCTGCAACTGGGGTGATGAGCAGATCGGAAGGGGATCAATCCGCTTTAGAAATGGGACCCAGGCCGGGGGCTCTCCAGAATGACTTTCATGGCCATCGTGCCACAAAAGCAACATGCCTTTAGCTGACCTGGTCAGGCGTGAGGTTTCCCCCTCTCCAAACCATGCAGCATTCCCTAGCCTTTGGGTGCATCCAAAGTGAGTTCCTTATTGCCATGGGGCAGAAGCTCCAGCCCAGGGTCTTGCCTGGAACTGCCTGCTCAGCTAGGGAGGCATATGGCTCTGTCTCAGGCTGTCCTGGCACAGCGGCCCAGCCTTCTGACCCAGTGCCTCCAGAATCTCAGCGGAAATTAAGGGACCTTATAAGGGACACAGGTGGCATAAACATTAAATAAATTAAAAGACCTCTGCCACTGTGCCCCTGCACGATGCCCACAGGAGATGTGAGGAGAGGCCAGAGCAGAGGCCGACTACAGCGCCAATCTCTCAAGATGCTTCTTCAGGCTGCTCTGTGCCAGTTCTGACCACCGTCACCCCATCTGAGTTTATTGCAGAGCAAATGCAAACTAAATCCCAGGTTTGGGATTGGGGAAGGTCTGACCTCGGCCCCTCTCTAAGTGAGCAAGGTGGAGGCGCCTCCTCCATCTCCTGGGCAGGGCAGGGTTGGGAAATTTGAGCAGAAGAGCAAGCCAGGGCCAGCTTCTCACACAGCTGTAAAGCTGCTTGTCTGGTAGGGCAACTCCAGTTTGCACAATTGGTGCAAATTCCGGAGCAGCCCGGCCCAAGACATGCCTTTCAGGCAGCTGCGCATGACGGAGCTGCTGCCTGCAGGGCAAGGGGTGCTGCTCTGCTGCTGGTCAGAGAGGAGGCTCCCAACAGATCTCTTGACCTCAGTGGGAACAATGGATCAGCGGAACAGCTGGACTTTAGAAGTTGTGGAGAGTTTTAAGAAGAGACTGGACAGCCATGTGTCTGGAATGGAATAGGGTCTCCTGCTTGAGTAGGAGGTTGGACTAGAAGACCCTCCCCCCAAGGTCCCTTCCAACTCTGTTACTCCGAGATCAGCTCTGACCTCGCTGCTTCATGGTCATGTGGGAGCTTCCTTAGGGAACATGTCCAAAAATCAAGATGGTGGCTACGATCACCTAATGCTGGCTCAGGAATTCTGGGAGTTGAAGTCCACAGGTCGTAAAGGGGCCACAGTTGCCCATCCCTGACCTAACTGAAACCCTGTCCCATTAGTACGCTGTCATCACAGTTGCCATCTGGGCTTTCTTGTGGGGGATCCCTTGTAATCACAGCTGTTGAGGATTACTGGCCCGGGTGTCAAAGGGCTTGGGAAGCTCCTGGCAGAGTTCAAGAATACATGGGCAGGGGTGTCTGCAGGCTGTGGTCAAGGAGAAAGCAAAGGTCCGCCCATTTTTTTTATGTGGCTGCAAGTGTGACTTTGTGGACCCTGTCTTGCAGACCCTCCCTGCATGGTCAATGGCTTGGGTGACTTTAGAACAGGCGCTCATACTGGCTGAGGAATTCTGGGAGTTGAAGTCCACAAGTCTTAAAGCTGCCAAATTTTGAAAACCCTGGTTTATTGTAAGGGGGGCATTTTTTCAGCAGCCAGCAATCATAGGGTATTTGCTAGTCACATTGCCCCAGGGAGGTGCAGGGTTGACTTCTTCTCTCCTTTTCATTTTTAACAGAAGCTGAGGGGCTGTGCTTGCCTGAAGGAGATAAAAACCACAACTTCCCATTTTTCAGAGAAATTGCTCTGCTGTTGCTCACCATCTGTCACCAAGTATCAGAGGGCAAATGAGGTGGACTTATAAAACTGTAAATTAAATGATTGGCAGGGCCACACAACCAACAGGTACTCTCCTGACCTAGAAAGTGCGAAGGAAGAGGCGAGAGTGGGACTATCTCTACCCAACGTCTGGGAAACAAAACGCTCCTCCAGAGGAACCTGTAGGTATAAGCCTCTCATTTTCAGGGGCCTGCAGCATTTGGAGAGCACTGGCTGCCCTTGTTGCAGCCTCCAGAAGGGTGAGTGGGAACCTGCCCCTCTCTGCTTCCAACTATTCGACTGACCTGATTATTTTGCGCTTATTATGAGGGTGCAACCTGGTTGCCATGTTAGGGTCCACCAGACTCAGCCGACGGTGTAGCTCCTGACTCTCCAGATTCTCCAGTCCAGCTTTCCACTCTTCTGCCGCCACTGCTGGACCCCGGGCCTCCCCCTGAAAAGACAGAGACGATTATACACAAGACAGATTCGCCGAAGTATGACACAACTGCTAAGACCACCTGAAGCTAAGCTTGCAAATCCTCTTTTTCTGATCTTAGCAAGGGTCCAAGAAGGACATCGAACTCAAAATGGAGCCCTCGCATTCACCCGCCACCATCCTAGCACTGCCCATCTTTCAGGGGGACATCCAGCTTACAAGCAGAACACCAGATGTCAGGCAGGGAGGAGGAAAAGCTGAAGAAATCATTGCGACCAACAAGTAATAAATCAAGCAGCATAAGGAAAATCTCAGACCATTAGGCAGGGTGGGGAGAAATATTATGCTATAAACATGTGACATTTTTGTAACCAAAGATTTTGCAGGCATTCAGAAAAGGCAGGGTTCTGCAACTGTTTGGTGAAGGAAGGAAGGAAGGAAGGAAGGAAGGAAGAAGGAAGGAAGGAAGGAAGGAAGGAAGGAAGGAAGGAAGGAAGGAAGGGCTTTCAGAAATGAGGTATAATTTACAACTCACACAAATCAGCCAAGCAACAGGAAGGCAAAGAACGAACACAACCTTGATGAAACTCCTTCTCCCCCATCTGTCAGTCAAAATCCCTCCTGCCAAAGGATTAATTTCTATTGTCCCAAACTGAGGCTTACCTTGGTGTCAAACAAAACCTTCCAGAGCAAAGATTCAATGTAATAATTTGTTCCACCAACCACAATTGGGACCTTCTGGGAGGCAAGAATCTCATCAATGTGAATAGTTGAGGAACATATGAAAAACTTTGAAGCTAAGCCTCATTAAAAATATGAGGCTACATATATAGAACCTGACAACTTTAAAATAATACATTTTGGAAGACATCTTTTTCTTCTCTATTTCCCCTTTTTCCACAATTAGCATTAAGTTTATTCTTAAAAAGTTGATGCACCGCCAGCATCAGAAATGTTTGGTTTTCCAGGATACAATTTGCATGTGTTCTTTGCCTGAGTCGCAAATGTATTTCTTTACTAATTCTCCTAACAGTTAGAAGCCTTCCGCCTTCCCCTCCCCAACATACTTTCTCAAATTGGGATAAAATGTGGTTTATAGGCCCTTCCTTGGTCGTGGTTCATTCCCACAGCACTGAACCAGTGGTGAAATCTAAAATTTGTTATTACCAGTTCTGTGGGCGTGGCTTGGTGGTGGTGGTGGTAATGTGACTGGATGGGCGTGGCCATTTTTTTTTACTTTTAAAACCATTTTTTCCTACAACCTCTTTGGTGAAGAGGTTGTAAAAAATTGCTTTCAAAAGGCTCTGACGATCCCACTTGAGTTGCCTGATCAGCAGAGGCTTTTTTTCTTTTAAATGCCTCTGACGATCAGGCAACTCAGCTTGGATCGTCAGAGGCTTTTTTTTTTTTACTTTTAAAAGCATTTTTTCGGCCAAAGAGGTTGTAGAAAAAATGCTTTTAAAAGTAAAAAAAGCCACTGATGATGTAGGGGGGAGGGGTAGGGGGGCAGGGATTTTTGCTACCGGTTCTCCGAACCACCCGCCTCCATTGCTACTGGATCGGGCGTCACCCCTACACTGAACCCACCCATGTCCCAACAGAGTCTCTGGCAAAGGATATGATGGCGGTGGCCTTCTTCTGGAAGTCCAGCACTGTGTAATTGGTGACCAAGGGATCCACAAAGCTGATCATGTGATGCTTGCACAGCTTCTGCTCCTGGGCTGAAACTTTGTTGGTGATGACATCCAGGCCCTGATAGATCTGAGACGGGGAAAGACAAACAGACGAAGCGTTACATTCAGCCAGTGCTACTCTTCTTGTTGGGGGCCAGCCAGTATCTCAGCTGGCTCCCCACTTCAAGCCACAGGAGGCCTCAGAGCAGGCCAAGGATCAGTCTTAAGGCCCTGCTGAGGATGAGAATGTCACTCCCACCCTTAGAAAGGACATGCTGGTTCAGGGCTGCTTAAGTAGGCTCTGTGCAAAGAATGTCTGCCTGCCTGCATCAACATGCCCTGATGACCTAGTGCACCAATGAAACAGTTCAGTCGGCTTCCCAAAGACGTCTCAAGCACTCTCTTCCTAAGCAGCGGGGTGCACCCCTCCCCGTGGGGCAGGGAGGAGCCGCATTCCTTCTCTTGCTGGGAAAAGGGGAGTCTGCGGAGCCTGAACCTACAAGCAAGCTCACTCCATCCACTAGTCTCAAAGCCATCTCTGGAGACTCGCGGTGTGTTTTCGCATCCCCACCTAGGATCTGCTCGTTTTGTCCAGAGAACAGCTCAGCTTCAGAGGTAGCCACGGAACATTTGAAAGAACATTTCAAAGACAGGAACACTAAGCATGTATCGATTGCTTCTTGCTCAGCACTGAGGAGCCACAACTGACACAGAGCAGACAAATTACGCTCCATCATCTGCTCAACCCATCCTTCTGGTCAGCTGGTTGTGAGACCTCAAGGACCAGGGGAGCCACCTTTCCTTTTAGGATTACTCTATATCAGTGTTTCTCAACCTTGGAAGCTTGAAGATGGGTGGACTTCAACTCCCAGAATCCCCCAGCCAGCAACGCTGGCTGGGGGATTCTGGGAGTTGAAATCCACCCATCTTCAAGCTTCCAAGGTTGAGAAACACTGCTCTATATACTCCTTGGTACATAACACTGTATTACGGAAGGATCTGCACCTTCGAATATGCAAAGTAATTCTCCATTATCACCACCTTCCTATCTCCAGTTCAAATCTGGGATTTGGTGCTGAATGCCAGGAGACAAGAGTCAGTGCAGGCTGGTCTGGGTTTTGCATGATCTTGTTCCTAACTGGCAGCTTCTATGTTCAGAAATCCCAGCTGGCAGAGCAGCCAGACAGCCTCGCCCTGGATGCAGCCTCAGCAGAAGGATGCTCGCAAGCGAAGGTCCCCATCTTCGGCTGGAGGCGCCAAGGTGCCTCAGCCTCTGCAACATCTTTCCTGCCCCAAAGGAGTCAGGCAAGGGGGCAAGAGCTGAGGAGGGCAGGGGCTGGGATAGAAGCACTGTCCCTCCAGCCGGCTCACACGTAAGGATTAAAACGAGATGAGAAGAAACAAACAACCCCAGTGATATCCAAAGGCAGGGTGGGAAAAATTACAAAGCAAAACAAAACACAAGACAGAATCATGCAATATAAATCTACACCCGGGGAACGGCTGGTACTCTTTTCTCTGGACCTCTGCAAGATCCCTGCAGGGCCTGGACCAGTGGTTAAATCTAAAATTTGTTACTACCGGTTCTGTGGGCGTGGCTTGGTGGGGGAGGGGGTAATGTGACTGGGTGGGCATGGCCAATTTTTTTTTTAACTTTTAAAATCATTTTTTCTACAACCTCTTCAGCGAAGAGGTTGTAGTTCAGACTGCTCCAGGAGCTGTTAATACAGTTCTGCGCAGGAATTATTGAGTCTCTCATCTGTACTTCAATAACTGTCTGGTACAGCAACCAAACAGGACAGGTGCAGACTCCAACGGATAGTTAAGACCATGGAAAGAACACCTGCAACCAGCCCCCCTTCTATAGAGGACCTGTATGTTTCTTGGGGTCAGAAAGAGGGGCTGAGAAAATATCCCTCCCATCCTGGACATGAACGGTTTCAACTCCACCCCTTGGGATGGTGCTACAAGGGCACTGCAGGCCAAAGCAACCAGACACAGGGATAGTTTTTTCCCTTGTGCCATCAGTCTGCTGAACACCTAATTTTCACAGTGCTGTCTAATGTATATTATCCAACTTGTATGGCTATAGCATTATCACTATAGTGACTAAATTAGTAGACTAGTGAAATGCTATGGACATAGAATATTTAGACTTCAGCAAGGCATTTGACGAAGTAGATCACAACCTACTTCTTGGTAAGCTAGAAAAAAGTGGGATAGACACCATCACCATCAGATGAATTTGTAACTGGCTGACAAACCGTACTCAACATGTAATCCTTAATGGTATTAACATCTACATGGAAGTAAGTAAGCAGTGAGGTACCCCAAGGTTCTGTCTTAGGCCCAGTACTCTTCAACATCTTCATAAATGACTTAGACGAGGGAAAAGAAGGGGAACTCATCAAATCTGCAAATGACACTTGTTCTGTTTTGGGCTTGAGTGGATACAGCAAGAACTGAGGCGAGACAGATTCAAATAACAGCTAACTTTTTTGCCAACAGAGCACTAGCAAGACAATAGCTCAGGCAATAACAGAACACATTCGCCCATTTGACAGCTCCTTTTATACTTGTTTCCCGCTAGGGAGCGGACCAGAGGGAGAACCTAGAATACAACAACACTAAGCTGGCAGGAATAGCCAACACCCCAGAAGACAAGCTCAGGATCCAAAAAGATCTTGATAGACTTGAACAATGGGCCCTATTCAACAAAATGAAATTTAATGTGCAGAAAAGTAAGATTTTACACCTAGGCAGGAAAAGCAAAGGTACAAGTACAGATTAGGCAAAACCTGACTCAAAAAGAGTAACTGTGAGAGGGACCCTGGAGTCCTAGTGGACGATCCCTTAAGCATGAGTCAGCAGTGGCAGCAGCAGCCAAAACTGATGCCATCCTTGGTTGTATAAACAGAGACATAGAATCAAAATCACATGAAGTATTAGTACCACTTTATTAAGCCTTGGTAAGACCATATCTGGAATACTGCACCGAGTTTTGGTCACCACATTACAAAAAAGATGTTGAGACTTTGGAAAAAGTGTAAAGAGGAGGAGCAATTAAGATGATTAAAGACCTGGAGGCTAAAACATATGAAGAACGGTTGGAGTCTTTGGGCCTGGCTAATCTAGAGAAAAGAAGGACCAGGGAGGACATGATAGCAGTCTTCCAATATCTCAGGTGCTGCCACAAATAAGAGGGGATCAATTTATTTTCCAAAGCACCTGAGGGCAGGACAAGAAACAATGGATGGAAACTAATCAAGGAGAGAAGCAACCTGAAATTAAGGAGAAATTTCCTGACAGTGAGGACAATGAACCAGGGGAACAGCTGGCCTTCAGACATTGTGGGTGCTTCAACACTGAAAAGTTTTTAAGAGAGACTGGACAGTCACTTGTCTGAAATGGTATAGTACAGTGATGGCTAACCTTTTTGCCATCATGTGCCGGGAGGAGGGTGGGGTGGGGGAGGTTCATGCGCATGTGTGCCCACACCCATAATTCTATGCGCCCCACCCTGTGCATGCACCCCCCTCCCCCCTGGCACGTGATGGCCAGGTAGGCCCGTTTTTCTTTCTCACCTGGCTCCAGACCCTCTCTATGCATCTGGGGAGGGCGAAAACAGCCTTCCCAACTCCCTCGGAGGCCCTCTTGGAGATCTGAAACGGCCCATTTCCCAACTCCTGGTGGGACAGGAAATGATGTTTTTGCTGTCCCCAGCCTCCAGAGCCTCTCTAGGAGTCTCTGGAGGCTGGGGAAAGTAAAAAACGTCACTTCCTGTCCCACTGGGAGTTGGGAAATGGGCCATTTCAGGCCTCCAGAGGGGGTGTGGAAGGCTGTTTTCGCCCTCCCCAGGTGCATAGAGAAGATCTGGAGCCAGGTGAGAAAGAAAAACGGGCCTTCCCCACCCTCCCAGGCTCTCCAGGGACAGGAAACAGCCTGTTTCCCTACTTCTGGTGGGCCCAGAAGGCCCGAAAATCAGCTGGCCAGTGCACGCATGCATGCCTGAGCTGAGCTGGTGTGCCCCGATATGGCTACATGTGCCACCTGTGGCACATGTGCCATAGGTTTGCCATCATAGGTATAGTATCTCCTGCTTGAACAGGGGGCTGGAGTAGAAGACCGCGAGTCCCTTCCAACTCTATTTTGATTCTTTTTTTCTTATTATTCTTTACCATCCTCTCTTATTGGTGGTATTGTTATTAATATTATTATTAATTATATTGCTTTGCATGTACACTGAGAGCTTGTGCACTGGAGACAAATTCCAAGCGTATCTAAATACACTTGCCCAAATAAGAGCCTTGATAGTACAGTGGTTTAGTGCACCTTGTTATTAACACAGCTGCCTGCAATTTCTGCTGGTTCGAATCTCTCCAAGGCTCAAGGTTGACTCAGCCTTCCATCCTTTCTAAGGTAGGTGAAATGAGGACCCAGTTTGTGGGGGCAATAAGCTGACTTTGTATAAAATATACAAAAGAATGAAGGCTATTGCTTAACGCATTGTAAGCTGCCCTGAGTCTCCGGAGAAGGGCGGCATATAAATCAAATAAAAATAATAATAATAATAATAAAGTATTCTGTTCTATTCTATCGCACAAGATGTCATTGCTTGCTTCATGGAACCTGGAGCAACCCAACTTGGCCAGGACTTGTTGGTCAGGCAGAATCCACAATGGTAAAGCAACTCTGTAGGTCTCCAGGCCCTACCTCACCCTTCTGTTCAAGGACAGTAATCACTCAATAAAAGTGGAATACAAGAAGAGAACAGATTAAAAGGCCATACATCCCTAGCATCTTGGCTGCTCTACTGAAGGAAGAGAGAATTGGGACCAAAGACAAGCCTGGAGGCTGCAGCTCGCAGCCTGGGAAAAGCACAGGTGACCATCTCAAGAGTCTGAGGAACAACCTGAGGGATAAGATGGAACTCTGTGGGCCACACTCCCAGTCAAGTGATATCCCAGATCATCCATGAAGGCTACCAAAGTCTCAGCTCCATGCATGCCTGTCAGCTCAACCGAACAGATCAGGGTTTCTCAACCTTGACAAATTGAAGATGAGTGGACTTCAGCTCCAAGAATCCCTAAGCCAGTGGGAGTTGAAGCCCGCACATCTTCAAACTGCCAAGACTGAGACACCCCGATCTAGATGTCGCTTCTACTGGTATGAGAAAGATTCTTCTCTAGGCCTCTCACTCCTAATCGGAACAGATGCAGCATCCAGGCACCAAGCAAAACATTTGCTAGCAGAGGCAACATTGGTGGCCAAAGTGCCATCATTGCTGGGGTGGAAGAGGTGATCCCTCCTCAACAAGGGCGTTTTCCACTCTGGTCAGGCTGGCTGGAGAAGACGGGACTTCCGGTTCAACAGGTTTGAAAGGTCCCTCGTGGGAAAAGCTGCTGCACAAAAAACACAAGGAGGTTTCTTAGCCCCCCCACCCCTTGAGAGCAAGCCCAGCAGCCTGCAGTGGGCGACCCCCTCCTTGATGCAACTTAAACTAGACAACCACAAAGGCTTCTTTTGATACTATTTGTGCAGCGCAGACATACGGAGGCTTCCCAGGCTACAAAATAAGTTGGCAAGAAGCCCCTTTGCCACCCTGGGTTGACGGAGGACAGGCTCCCCCCCTCCCCCCCCCCGCAGTTCTACAAAACGACCGACTGATGGACAGATGCCATTTTACGCCATGCCTCCTTTGTAAAACGGCCACCTTCCTACCTACAGGAAACTACAGGAAAGCCAGCCGGTTTCTGTGCGTTTCTAAAAGGTGCCATTTCAAGCGCTCAAAGCCAGAGCCGGGCGGGCCGGAAGCTCCCCGGGCCGAGGCCGCAGCGCCTCCCCAGAGCTGCGGCGGGCGTGGAGAGGCCAGCCCGGGAAGCTCCGCGCGGCGCCACCGCCGGCTGGCTCTCTGCCCCCCTCGGCAGCCACAGGGCCCCGCGGGGAGTCCGGCTGCCCCCGCGGGCTCCGCGCACCTGCATGGAGTCGGCGCTGACGATCTCGCCGCCGAAGCGCAGCCCGAGCTGCAGCGCCAGCCGCGACTTGCCGGTGCCCGTCGCGCCCAGCACCACCACCAGCGGCAGCCGCCGCGCCACCGCCGCCGAGCGCGCCATGGACGGCCGGAGGACGGGAAGTCAGCCGGGCGGGCCGGGGAGGGGGAGGGAGGCGGGGCCGCTGCGGGTGCGCGCGCTGGGCTGGGCTGGGGGAGGAGCGCGCGTGCCGAAATGCCCCCCCCCGCACCAATTCTGAACCTTTCGGGCCTTTGGGCCAAGTTTGCACAAGGCCTGCCGGGGTCACAAGTTGTGCGCTCTGGAGCATTTGGTTTATAAACCATGATTCGTAGCTTAGATGTTGGTTAAGCCCTTTTCAGGAAACCCTGGCTTGGCAAGAATGTCAGGCCAAGACTTGGATTCCAGCATTTCTCCGGCTTTTAGAGGTCTCCCTGTTCTTAGACTGGGGTGAAATCCAGCAGGTTCTGACAGGTTCTGGAGAACCAGTAGCGGAAATTTTGAGTAGTTCAGAGAACCGGCAAATACCACCTTTGCTGGCCCTAGGGTGGGGAGGGAATGGGGATTTTGCAGTATCCTTCCCCTGGAGTGGGGTGGGAATGGAGATTTTGCAGTATCCTTCCCCTGCCACATCCACCAAGCCACACCAGTCTCACCAAGCCATGCCCACAGAACTGGTAATAAAACAATTTGGATTTCATCACTGTCCTAGACTTTTCTTTTTCACAGTCCCAAACTTGGGTTCCCATTCTCACTTTGTAATAATAGTTTCCCGGGATTAGACCGTTGACATCCCCTGGAGTTGCCTGAGGTTTCTGAGATTCCCCCTGCAATTCAATATTGTGGATAGAATTGAAGGGAAGAGAACTCTGCTCAAGCCAGGCCTGCAGAGTTTGTAGCCAGAATCAATAAAGTTGACACTTCCACCTGAATCAGAATCAAGATCAGGTGAAATGTTGATAGTACCCTTTACAAGGCCTTGGTAAGGCCACACTTGGACTATTGCATCCAGTTTTGGTCACCATATTATAAAAAGATGTTGAGACTCTGGAAAGTGCAGACTAGAGAAACAAGAATGATCAGGGGGCTGGAGGCTAAAGCATATGAAGAATGGTTATAGGAATTGGATATGTCTGGTTTAATGAAAAGAAGGACTAGGGGAGACATGATAGCACTGTTCCAATATTTAGAACAAAGACGAGAGGGGGTCAATCTATTTTCCAAAGCCCCTGAAGTCCAGACAAACAACAGATGGAAACTAATCAAGGAGAGAACCAACCTAGAATTAAGGAAAAATTTCCTGACAGTGAGAACAATTAAGCAGTGGAATGGCTTCCCTCCAGAAGTTATGGGTGCTCCATCACTGGAGGCTTTTAAGAAGAGATTTGAGCAGCCATTTGTCCAGAATGATATAGGGTTTCCTGTCATGCAGGGGGTTGGACTAAAAGACCTCCAAGGTCCCTCCCAACTCTGTTATTCTGTCATGGATTTTTTTATCTTGGATGTTTTAATTACACCACAGTTGGTAGTTATATATAATACACTGAACTAGAAGGCATAGAAGACATGGTATTTGGGAATCCAGTCTTCCGGAAAGTTGCATCTTGGATATTTGCCTCTCTCTGATCTTAACACGGGGGATTTGCATATTGTATTGATACATCATGATTGGTTTCCTGAATCCAATAACTATGGTTTGCTTAATTAGAGCTACCGTCAGATGCAATGTGCAGTCTGTGTCATTCAGTTTAGCTCTGAAGCCATGGTAAATCACCTGGGTTTGCCGGATATCTGTGACAGTCCCTCCAATTTAGCACAGCTAGGGCCCTCCTAGTCAAGAATGATGGGAGCTGGAGTCTTCACCCATCAGGAAGGTACAGGTTAAGAAGAGGCTGGCCTCTGGGCCTGGGGTCTGCCCTTGCCATGTCACATCTGGTGCCAGGTGGGCTGATGCACATGGGCGGGGAGAGCCAAGCACAAAGGGGAGAAGAAAAAATTGATTGAGTAAGCAAAGTTGGGAGAGGGAGATTGCCATGGCAACCATTTGGAAGAGCAGATGCCCTAGGGACGGATAAAGAGATGAACTTGTGACCAAAGACAAGAGAAAGGGATTGTTGCCGTAGCAACAAAAAGCAAAGAAGAAAAAGGATGGAGAGACAGTTACCAAGGAGATGGAAGCTATTGCCAAGGTAGCAGAAAGGTTCAGCAATGTTCTGCCATAGCAACAAAGGGGGGGGGGGAGATGTCTCTTCCCCTAGCAACTCACATCTCCTGCCATAGCAACAGGGAGAGCAGGCAATATAATTGGAGGAGATGGGATTAAAGCAGGCTCAGCCAAAGTAGCCTGAAAATTTAGTAACCCAGCCATGAACTAACCTTCCTTTCACCCCAAAAATGAAAAATACATGAAGCTTTTACGCACCTAGATTAAAAAAACAAACAAAAAAAAAAACCCAAGAGGAAATGCTTGATAAGCAAAACAGAGCAAAAAGCAGTGATGTCTAGACTTTAATCCGTCTTTCTGCTCAGGGTAAAGCCCATCTCCCTCCACGATCTGTTCCACTGTCCGGCTGTTCTTCTAGTCCAAAAAATCCCCTTGGCTACCTTCACTTGCAATCCAGCTTTTGAGATTCTAGATCTGCAATTTCATGTCCTGAGAGACCCAGGAGAGGTCTCTGTCAGAGCCTTTCGGGTAATGGAGGACAATTCTTTTCCCAACTCTTAACATACCTGCCCTCCCAGTCTCTCTATAGAGCAGGATTCCCGAAACATGGCAATCTTAAGACTTGTGGACTTCAACTCCTGGAATTCTCCAGCCAGCGATGTTGCTGGGTGGGGAATTCTTGGAGTCGTCATCCAGAAGTCTTAAAGTTGGCAAGTTTGGAGAGCCTTGCTCTAAAGGGAACTCTTCAGAATTCTCACTGGATTTCTTTGAGCTGCTTCTGATGTCCCAAAATGCATTTTAAAGGTGTGGTTTCTAGAACTGGACACAGTATTTGAGGTTGGGTCTAACCAGTATACAAAAAAGGGGGAACTAATTATTTTTCAGTGATTTCAAAGTATGATACTATTGAAGCAACCTAAAATTTACCCTTTTTGCCTACTGCTGACTGCTATTTAGGAGACAATTAAGGATTGAATCAGAATCAGAATCGAGCTGGAAGGGAACTTGAGGCTTCTAGTCCAACACTCTGCTCAAGCAGGAGACACTCTACCATTTCAGATAGGTGGTTGTCTAATCTTTTCTTTAAAAACCCCATGATGAAGCACCCACAACTTCCGAAGGCAACTTCTGTTCCACTGGTTACTTGTCCTCACTGTTACAAGGATCTTTTTTATGACAATGTTACCAAGCTAGATGAATTCCCATCTTGTACCTGTACATTTGACATTCTTAGACACTCTGTTTAAAAAAACTGTTATGTTAGCCTATTTGTCTGTAACCTCTGAAGGGTTCCTTGATTTTGCCCTCTGTCTACGGCTACGCTATTAGCCAATCTAGCCAACTTTTGTGTCATTTGCAGTATTAATAAACTTATTTCTTTTTCATCAGAGAAGTCCTTAATAGATTGTGGGAATGCTACAGATAAAATATATTTTTAATTTAGCAAAACATTTGTTAAAAAGACCCATGATGTGCACTTTAGCAAGCTACTGTAGTTATCTGTGAGCATGATACTAACTAGGGAAATACCCAGCTACTGTAGGTTGCAAATTGGGCTTGCTCATTATTGGTTCCTCATGAAAGTATTACAGTAAGTGAAGGGCTGCCAGGGTCGGTCCTGGGTCCTCAGTTATATTTATTATTTTTTATGAGATGAAAAGGTAGGAAAAATACTTACCAAATATGGAGATGATGCATTCAAAGTAAGTAAGTAGGTGTTCCATAAACATGTTTTGGTCACTCTCAATACTAGTAGTGCTCCTTTGTTCTGCTCTTCCTAGTTGCAAATAGCCCACATGCACTCTTGATGGGGAAGAGAGCTTATTTCTTTTCCGTATATGGTCAGATGTTGTGGAAAAAGAATTCGAATTCAGTTTTGTAGGCTTACCTATCCACACACTCACACATATACAGGTAGTCCTTGACTTACCTTTCTTTTAACCACCATCCAAAGTTACCACATTGCTGAAAATGACTTACAATCAGTCCTCACACTTATAACCATCACAGCATCTCCATGGTCACATGATCAAAAGTCAGCCTCTTACGGGAGTAACCAGCTTGTATTGGCAATGACTGCAGTGTCCTAGGATCAAGTGATCACCATTTGCAACTTTCCCAGGAGTCTTCCAACAAGCAAAGTCAATGGAGGAAGCTAGATTTGCATAATGACCATGTGATTTGTTTAACGATCGTAGCAAAAATGGTCATAAAATCAGGCATGACTCACTTAACTGCATTAGTTAGCAGCCAAAGTTCTGGTCACAATTGTAGCCATAGGTCAAGGACTACCTGTACAGAGAATGTATCTACATGGGATGCTTAACTTGGTCAGTTTTCAGGCTTTGCACACTACGTTGATTCATGCTACACTCAAAGCAGCTGTCCTCATACTCCAAACAAACCCCCAAAGAATGAAAATTATTTAAAGTAATCAAGGTGGTGGAGGCCGTGCAATGCAGCAACTAAATTTGCAACAGGATAAGTGTGTCACACGAATACAACCAAAGGACCGTGTGGGATAGCATCACAGAAGACATGTGCCACAGAAGATGGGCATTTTGCCCTCTGGGCAGTGGCTCAGTGGCAGATCACAGATTGGAGGGGTAGAAATTCCCAGGTTAAATCGCAGAAAGGTCCTGCAGTTCCTTACCTGGCATCTTAAGAGCGCATTTCCACCTCCAGTCTAGGCAGTGTGACTGGCCGAGTCCTAAGGAGTTCCCACTGAGTCCCTGTTCTGGGGCCTGATTGTGGGTTAGGAGGCCAGAGGTTCTCGCTGCCAACTGGAACTTTCATGAGGCTGCCTGAAGCATTTCTGCAGTTGCCAACTTTCTTTTCATTATGCAGAAATGCTGCTGCAAGATGAGCATCTCCAAATAAAAGCTTACACTTTGCCCTTTTTTTTCCCAGGAGAAAAGCAGACCAAAAGCATGTTAGGGCATCATTTTGCAGAACAGATGGTGCGTTTTTGCCGTATAGTTGCAATGATCTTGTTATTTTAATCCTTGAAGACTATACGAGCTACATCAGATGGTCTGTGAATGTCAGACCATTCAGTCCTAAAGGTAGGACTGAGTTTTGGGCCTATTTTGGGAACCCTTTGGGGTGAAAGCTTAGCACATCTATCTTAGTTTCTTCATGCAAATTGGAAAAACCAAATGGTTTATAAACTATTTGTAGCCGTGTGCCTAGGGAGACGGCTCCTGATGACATAGACAGGCTGAGGGGCTGCTCATCTCTTGTTCTGGAACCATGGAGCAGCCACAGACTTGTTTTGCAGGCAGTTCTCCACCCACAGCAATCAGAAAGTGCAGCCATGCAAAGGACCCCCCCACCCCCCGAGCATATGTTGGCCTTCCAAGAATGGTAATATTCCAGTCTCAAGAGTCCAGATGGAAGGCTGCAATTTGGGGAGGCTGAGGTTCATCATATCTGTCATACTTACCTGGGCAAAGCAGAGCCGTCAGTCCTCTAAAGGTAAAATGAGGAGCCTGGTAGCCCTCCTTTAATTAAAATTAATATTTAATTAAAGGCAGAAGCCTTCAGTTCACTTTAGTTACTAATCTGATTTTTGGTCACCAGACTGACAGTCCTCATATAATGTTATAATGTTGAGTAGCTGAATAAACCTGCTAGCCAGAAATAACATGGAAATCCATATTGAGACATAATGTGCAAGACATTTGAGGCCTGGTTCACACAACATGCTATACTAAGCTAAAATATGATTTGTTTTGCACTGAAATTAGTTAATGTGTTTTGTCTTTAGAGACGTGTGAAAACAGAATTGCACTGTTAACATGAGTTTAATATATTGTGTGAATCCAGGGAGTTTGTGTAACTGCTAACATTTCAAATTCATGCCACAAGCTAGAGGCCTCTCTCGACCATAGGAACACTTAGTTGGGCTTGGCAGAGCCTTATATCTCTGCCCGCCCCCCCGAGGGATTTCATGTTTCTTTTCACATCACATACCACAGTCCCAATGAGGGTGGGCCCAACCAGGATCTCCTGTCCTGGTCATCTTGTTGGTCTGATAAAACCTCTTGAATCAAACATTTTAATTCCCTTTGAATTTCGATGCAAATCCAGTTCCAGTGTTGGGAGAACCAGCCCCTCGTCTTCCTCTTGCGTCTGTCAAGTCGGAGTATAAGCCTTGGCCTCTCACTCACAGCAAGCAAAATCCTGAAGCACTTTGTTGAATAAGAATGCAGCTCTGGATTTTTTGGGATGCCCCAAAGAAGCCCTTATCCTGCAAAGAACCAACTTTGCTGCATTACCCCAAGGTCAGTGGTGAAATCCACTTACATTTGCTACCGGTTCGGGAATGGGAGCGGGAACGTGCTATGCACCCGCACGCATGCGCAGAGCCTTCTGCATGCGCAGAGGGTCAATAACAGGACATAATGACATCCTGGCAGGTGGGCAGAGCTTCCCACTGCTGGCGCTACCGGTTTGTGCGAGTCAGATAGGTCCGGCCGGATTTCACCGCTGCTCAAGGTTGCCCATCCCAAATTAGAATAAGTCTCTGTTTGCAGGGGGTGGAATGGGGTGACAATCATGACAATACCCCAAATTAGCCAGACACTGCCCACAAGTGTCCGGGCACTTCAGGAGTCCAAAGGAAGGTGCTGAACAATTCAAGATGGCCGGTCTTGAGGAATTTCCACTATAGCACAAATGTGCCTTTTGCTCTCACTACCAAACAGCCGCTAGTTTCAGCTGGATTCAACACAGCAGAAGCCTCCCCTGCCAGGTAAGAATCTGCCCCCCCCCCAAAAAAGAGAAGAAGACATCACACTGGTTTGCCCTTTTGCCATTAATTTATTTCAGAAATGTAAGGTAACAAAGTGCTAAGTCTGACCCACCCAGCCTCGAAGCTTTGACGGAACTGGCTGAGGAATGTCCCAGTGGCATCTGCATGGTGGATCTTGCACTGTGCCAGCAAGGGGGTCCATCACTCTCACCTCTCCCGACATAGGGGAGGATGGGGGGGTTTGCATAAGGAGGGTGCAACTGCGCTCTAGGAAAGCTTGGCCAAAGCAGAGGGAGATGCCGCTTAGCCCCTCTCCCGTTAGCAAAGGCTGCCATCCCAACCTAGAATGAACGGGAGTCCTTTGCAGCAGATAAACATGGCCGTCTTTCTGCACATCCCGCCAGCAAGGATCCTCGGGTGGCTCTTTCGCTGAAGAAGAAAGGGACCCACTGCAGAGGCCTTTTGCAGAAGGATTAGGCCAGGAGTCTCTACAATTGACAACTTTAAGACTTCTGAGTCTGGCTGAGGAATTCTGGGAGTTGAAGTCCAGAAGTCTTAAAGTTGCCAAGTTTGGAGATCCCTGTTTAGGCATCCACCTCTCCCAGCAAGCTTCGTGCAGCACATGAAGTTAAAGTCCAGGGAAGGCACATGCACAGCCTTCCTTCACCCGCCATGCACCCTGCCCTTTCGTGAGATTTGCCAGCCTCCTTGTTCACCAAGACCATCTCAATGCTTCTGGCAAGCCAGGACTTGCACTTTACCTGCTTTGCTGCCCTGAAGGCCTGCCCCACAGAGGGGCAGCCCATACGAGCCAAGTACAAGAGCAGCCCTTTCCTGCTCTACCTGGGAAACAAACCCCATCTTGGAGTCAGCTTGAAAGTGCAGGGTCGGCTCTGCTTCCCAACAGACAGGCCCCTGGGACATCTGCGATTGGCGCTTGCAAGCTGGAACCAGCCTCTTCCCTGCGAGAAGAATTTCCAGTCATCCCAGTTTTTGGAAAGCAGCCTGTTCCCAAGGGAGCCAATTTGAATCACTCCCTTGCAAGCCATGAAGGTGGCCCACCACCCTGACTGCAGGCGGTATATTTGGGTATAGAAACAAGGGGGGGGGAGGGGAAAGAGCCAGCATTTTACAAAAACAGAAAAAAAAATCTAAAAAGTACAAAAATACAGAATATATCTTTAAAAAGCAGTCTGGTACAAAGAATGAGGCAGTCACTACATTAGATTCTAGGATATACAGATGCCAAGATAAGCCCTGGTTTGTCATTAAATGGAAAAAGAATGAGGTAAATCAAATTCAAGGTGATTGCAGTGCTGTTCTAGTGATGGAGTAAAGTGGGGTGATTTTTTAAAGCCTCCCCCCCCCCATGTGAGCTGGAGAAATTCTGACATGACAGACGGTATCCGTGGCCGAAGTGCCTTTTGCACCAAAACCTTGGCATGGACTCCCTCTTGCACTCCACTGGAACACGGTCTCCCTAAAACCAGAGGCTCCCTTGGACGGTGCTCCTTGCTGCCTCTCCAGGGAGGTCTCAGCTCCCCCTAACTCCAGAGCTGTGAAATAACTGTTTGCACAAAGGATCCAGCCACAATTTGTTGGAGGAACAGAAAAAGCCAATTCTAACCAAGTCTTGATCCGGGAGCAAGGGGACGAGACAGAGAATTTGACTACCCTCACATTATTATAAAAAAGCAACAAACTGCAGAAAGATCTGCCCTCCTAAGGAGCTCCACAAATGACAAATGCACCATGCACCCCTGACCTCCACTGAGAAATGCTGCTCAGGGTCCCCTTGAAACATCCACTGGTTGCGATGAGGGTCTTGTCTGGTGTGTCCCAGGGTCCCTCTGGAGAAATAGCCGTCTGGGTCCAGCTGGGCCCACCAAAAAGGGGACAGCCGTGGGGCTTGGCCATAATCCAACATTGTGCAGCAAAAGCTGCATTTTGGCAGCTGAAGCCCCACTCCCTCTCCTGGAAGGAGGAACAGAATTCAGACAGGAGCAGCAGAATAAGGGCAAGCCCTGTATGATGTGCAGTGGCAGTGCATGATGGGAATGACAGTCCATTAGGAGTCTGCAACCCAAAACCAACCAAAAAGTGCCAATGCAACTGAAAACCCAGGAGGCCTGGCCAGCTACTCCGTGCCCTGCAGGTGTGAAATCTGTTTCCGTAGCTGGAGCTGGTGCAGTTTCAGCAACTTCTTCTCAGCCACCATTTGCTGTTCAGCACTAAGAAGCAGCTGCAGATACTCGGAGGCTTTGCTCAGGACCACAACTTTGGGGGTTTTGGGGCAAGATGCGAGACCAGGCACCTGGTCCCTCAGTGCCAGGAAACGTGAACGAAGGTCATTCCGCCGCTTGCGCTCCAAGTAGTTGTGGTTTTTCCTCTTGGTCACATCCTCACTGTCCGAGCCAGGAGCACTGCCCGCCTTGGGAAGCGAAGCTGCAGGAGGGAACCTCTCTACCCCCTGCCCGGGAGACTGTGGCTCATTGTCCCCGGCATCAGGGCTGCCCTTCTCCAGAGGCCCCTCAATAGAGTGAGCCTCCGGGGGGGAGCGGGCAGCATAGTTGTGCTGCTGTTGATGGATGGCGATGTGGAAATGCTTTGTGCAGGGGTCCAGAGGGTCATCCCGCACTGTGATGGTGACTGGCTTCCTTGTCCCCAAAGCCTGCCTCTTCTCAACGGTCACCACATCGATTTCTTCTCCTTCTGCAAACAAAGAAAAGATGGGGGAATCAACGGGTATCAAGGTGCGTTTCTGTGCTTCAGGCACAGGCAAACAACTAATTAACTGAACTGAACAGAGATAGAGATCAAATTGAATGGACAGCACTTCACTTGAGCCAAGAAACAGCTCAAGGCTGGGTTTAAGCTGTCCTGTGGTTTGCTTGGTTTTGGTTTGCATATTATGCAAATCCAGCTAATTGTGATTTTCAATAAACCATAGCTGAACAAAACACGTCTCAACTTGTGTGAGGTTCCCACAGAAGTAGTTGGAAGCTTTTGGCCTCTTTCTTCAGAAAAGGTGTGTGAGCATCCCAAACCAGGTATTAACTTCTACAACTACTGAAAAGCGGCTTGATCCAACTCCAAGGCTGGATTCAGTTTTCCCTGGTAGCCATCAGATGCCTTGTAAAGTCAAGCTTGGCACTGCCAGAACAGCTTCTTTTCCAGCAGATGCCAAGGGTAGGAGCTCGAAAAAACCAGTTCATTCGTCTCTGTCCATGGGGATGACCTCCCCTGCCTCCAGGATGAAGATCATAAGACTGAGCCCTTGTTCAAGGGCTCCCCACCTCTTCAGCCCAGGGTCCAGAATCATGAAAAGCTGAGCTCTTGATCCGTGGGACTGGCCTCCCTCAACAGCAGGATTTTCTCCTACGCCTTGCCCTCCCCCTTCCTCAGCTGCCATAATGTGGCAATTTTCCTAAGAAAAAATAAACCTGAGGGACATTCTGTGGCACTGTGCAGGCTGCCATTCTGTTGTCACAATGCAGAGTACATGCCTGCTCCTGATCCTAAGTTTTGGGTCAAAGGCATTACCAAATTCTGGAATGGCTTGTGGCTCAGGAGACAAGAAACGCATCTCCAAACTCAAGTATCTGGAACACTGAATGAGTTGTCCTCCTGAGACACTCCGTGAGTAAGAAATACTATGTCTCCTTTGGGTAGTATTTGGGCATTTGGACCCCTGATACTCTTCTCCCTCCCCTCTTTTTCATCAGATATTATCAGTCTGCTGTTGGAGACTATCATGGTTTTGTTGCACTTAAGTAACCAAATGCAGCACAAAAACAAAGTAAAACTCCTTAAAGCAGCGAACTTACACATCTATGACTGAGTAGCAAAAGATCAGAGACATTAAAGCCAAACTCTAAAACTGACCAGATAGGCATCTGTAGACAACCCCTCCCCCACACTGTCCCCATTAATACTCTCCATTAACTGCTTCTCAGCCTCAAGAGTGACCAAAATAATGTAGCCGCAGTAGTCTGAAAACAAAAGTACACACTTAGCCTCCTGTCCTACTCAGACCTGTCAGGACTCCAGCAATTTACTGAGAATTGGGAGGGGGGCATTTCCGCCCTCCAAATTCAAACTGTTTAGAACTACAGCCAAAGAAGGCAAGCTGTCTGGTACTCTGGAGGGAAGGGAAGAAATCTCTACTGAAGACAACTGCAAGGACAACAAAATTAGATCTGATTGGGAGGCAGGACTGGAGTAAACTTTGATGATTAAATCCACCTCCCATCTTTGCCCTGTTCTTTCATAGCTCATTGGAATTGCAAATGAAGCACAGACCTGGGGGGAGGCAGGAGGAGGGAATCTGGCTTTTGTCCCTTTGACTTGCCACTTCCCAGAAGCCATAAATGTATATTGCCTTTCCCCACCTCCAGAGGCACAAAAATGGACACAGCACCTCCTGCCCAGCAGCTCTCCACAAGAGAGAGTGAGGAGTTGAGAAGGGCTTGAATAAACTTCAAAAGAGACCCCTCTTTCTTCTTCAGACAAACTGGCTGGGCTCTCCAAAAGAAAAAAAGCCTTTTCCAGGGAAGGCTGCCGCCTGTCTAAACTTGCCTCTCCCCAAACTCCACCCTCTGGTTCAGCTTTTCTCTTCTTCGCTAAGTGGGCAGAGAGGAAACAGACAGAGGAGTCCACAGCGGAGGGTTTTTAACGTGAAAGATAAAATTACAGAATAACAGATTGGGAGGGACCTTAAAGGTCTTCTAGTCCAACCCGCTGCACAAGCAGCAGACTCCATTTCAGACAAGGGGCTGTGCAGTCTCTTCTTAAAAGCTTCCAGTAATGAAGCACCCACATCATCTGAAGGCAAGCCATTTCACTGGTCGATTGTTCTCACTGTCAGGAAATTTCTCCTTAGTTCTAGGTTGCTTCTCTCCTTGGTTTGTTTCCATCCATTGTTTCTTTTCTTGCCTTCTGTTGCTTTGGAAAACAGGCTGACCTCCTCTTCTTTGTGGCAGCCCCTCAAAATATTGGAACATTTCTATCCTGTCGCCCTTGGCCCTCCTTTTCACTAACTAGACATACCCAATTCCTGCAATGGTTGTTTATATGTTTTAGCTCTTCTCTGCGCTCTTTCTAGAGTCTCATCATCTTTTTTATATTGTGGTGACCAAAACTGGACGCAGTATTTCAGGTGTGGTCTTACCAAGGTATTATAAAGATGCTTGGATGCACCTCATTTCTCACTCTCAGGACCCAAGTGCACTGCTCATGGCTTACATGTTAAACAAAGATAATGGAAAGATCCTGCTATTCTCTTGCAACTAGTTTTGTCCAAATTCAAAGAGGTCTATAGAGAAGGGAAGATCCAGGGCTCCCTGTCACACCAGCAGTGAAGAGTGAGCAAGCAGGGTGAGGGGCTGGAAAGAAAGTCTGCGGGAATGCCCTCCTCATCCTCTACAGAGCACCCATCTGCACTTGACAAAATTATAAATGGACCACTACTCTTGGGGACTAGTATTTTCTTTTTACTGTGTGTGCTTTGATTCTGAAAACAGCAAAAAACTCTTAAAGTAAAATATTTGAATACCCATTTATGCCTAATATGAATGCCCATGTCTCTTTCTACCCCTTGCTCTACATTTTGAAGTTGTCCTTTTGCACAATCCAACTTTTCCCTAGGATAAATATTGTCTAAAGAGCCAGTTTGGTCTAGTGGTTAAAGCATCAGGTTACAAACAGGGAGGCCCTGTGTTCTAGTCTCCCCTTTGGCACAAAGCCAGCTGAGTGACCTTGGGCCAAGCACTCTCTCTCAAGCCTAAGAAGGAGACAATGGCAAACACTTGTGAAATCTTGCCAAGAAAACTGCAGGATTCATAGAGGCTATCTCCAGGAGTCAACAAAGACACAAAGACACTCACACACACACAAAGAGCCTGTTGGTTCCAGAATGCAAGAAACTGATGGATCACATTCTGAAATGCCACCCCCTTGCTATCCCCATTGGCTTCTCCTGCAGCCACTCATTAAGCAGCCACACCCCCTCAAGATAACCCTAACATGAGCATCTGTTGCTTTTTGTCCCTGACTGAAAAGGGCATTTGTGGACAGAGCCCTCCTGTTGGTGGGGGTGAAGTCCATGTCAACACAAGAGCATGATTCAATCAATCAGTAACAGTTCCCACCCCTTTGCGAACTGAGATTAAGCCTCTGCCAGACCTACCAGTATCCTCATGTAATTAAACCTTACACCCGGTTTGTTTCTTCAGCCTTGCAAGCTGAGTCACAAGGCATCAACGTTCACCTAATGACTCAAGCAGAAGAGGGTCAACAAGGCTTGAAGCCTGGAAGTAGAATGCAGTAGAAGTGCAAGGAACCTCCCCCTCCCAGGTTAGCTGGGAAAAAGCTGCTCTTGAACAGAAGGTGTCCCCTCACTTTGTCTGAACTGTCACCAGAGGGCAGCTATCACCCTGGAATTAGTCTTTATGCTGGAAAACAGTTTTTCCAGGAATAATACTTCACTAGAATGAGTCAGTAAGAAAGCATCACTTCAGAAGGCATCTCTGCCATTGCTTATTTTACTGCACACTTGAGCCATTGTAATATACTTGCACACACACAAGGCTTAGCAAGCCAAGTACACTCAAACCACTCGAATATCAAGGCTTGATACGCAGTTGGGGAATATTAATGCCTCATGGGTGGAGTAGTAAGAAATGGGGAGATCCCTCTTTGGGTCTCAGCCAGAAAATCAACTAGTGAAAAGGTGGAGTTGCAAAGAAGGAAAGGCAGCCTCCTACCATCACCTGCTCTGCTGTGAACACACCAAATGGACTGAGCCAGGTGAAACTCTTAAATCCAGCACAAAAGGGATCAAACTGCCTTAACAGCAACTGACTGGATCAGGCATAAGCAATCCTTGCAGCTTATTTGTTGAACAAGTTTCCAGGCTCTGATGACATGCTAAGGACGGACAACATGAAACTCAACCATTACTTTGCATACCTTATCATGCCCTTCCATTTCCAATGGCCCATTGCCCCCACCACCATGCTGCCTGTCTCTGTCCTTGGCTTGTCACTCTTCCCTGAAGTCTATGGGCCTCCTACTACAGTGTTTCTCAACCTTGGAAGCTTGAAGATGGGTGGACTTCAACTCCCAGAATCCCCCAGCCAGTGCTGCTGGCTGGGGGATTCTGGGAGTTGAAGTCCACCCATCTTCAAGCTACCAAGGTTGAGAAACACTGTCCTACTTCATCAGAAAGTCCCTTGCAGCCCACATTTTAAAAAGGCTGGCTCTGGCTTTCCCAGTCTCCCCCCACCCCCACCCAAGAATTCACTGAGAACCTTACGAGGGGGCTTAGTCGTTGGAAGTCTCTGATTTTTCTTGAAATGGGCTCCAGCACCAACTACGTTCTTTTTTTACTCCTGTGCAATTCTGAGGGTGAACTGATGTGCGCAGCCAAACTCCGGAACTTCAGGCATGGTTTGGCTGCTCCACCCCCATGTTCTTGTTCCCCAAGAACATAATGGCTTTCAGATCATTTTAAGCGCCAAGCTGCAGAATGGGAGAGAAAGAGACACCAGTCTTGCTCTATTTACCAGCTTTTGCGATGGCACCTGCCTTGGTCTGATGCGACCAGCTTTTAGCTTTAGGATGCTGCGGATGCTGCCATTCCAAGCCTTCCAGTATTTATTAATAACTAGATTGTAGTTCAGAGGATTGCAAGGCAGCCAGAAACTTGAAATGCCCCCCTCCTGCCAGCAGACCCCAGAGGAGAGAGCCCGGTCTAGGTGTGTCTCCAAGGCCCCTCGGGCTGACTTCACTCAACCTGTGGAAAAGCCACCGCCTCACCTGCCCTGCCCCAGAATGACCCAATCCCCACAACACGCTGAGCCAATCCTTGGGTTCGCCCGGGGACCCCACTCTCCTTAACCCGGCTTCTTCCCTGGGAGCCAGCCGAGGGGCAGCTGATCTGGAAGGGGCTAAAGCAGGAAGCTGCCCGGGAGGGGCGGAGCGAAGAGCCCGCAAGCAGCCTTGGAAAGTTCGCCGGGGAAGCGAGGGAAGACGGGAGGGGACCGGGCAAACTTCCTCGCGGGAGCAGAAACTCCCGGGGAGAGATGAGCAAAGGGGGGGGTTGGGGGCGACCTCCAGCCCTCCCTCGTCTCCATGCCGGCCTTACCGGAGTCACTCTGGCTCTCGGAGCCGGACGAAACCGGGATCTTGGTGTCCGCGGGCGCCGCCGCCGCCTCGCTCCCGCCGGGCCAGGCGAAGACGGCGCCCGGAGCCACGCACTCGCCGCCCAGCCCGCCGAAGTCGTGGGCGGGCGCCAGGGCCGGCGTGGGCTTGGCCGCCAGCTTTTCGCCCATGGCTTTCTCCAGGCGCTCGCGGGCCGAGAAGCCGCTCCACATGCAGTCGCGCAGGACGAAGGCGCTCAGGTTGCCCAGCAGCCCCGCGGCGGGCTCCGGCGGGCCGTCGGCGGCGGCATCCTCGGCCGGGCCGGGCAGCGGCGAGGCGGGCGGGCTGGGCAGCAGCTCGAACTTCTTCCAAATGTCCTCGCTGGGCGCGCTGGAGCGGTGGAAGTCCTCGCCCTGCGCCTCGAAGGGGTCGTAGAAGTAGGGCGGCGGCGGGTCCAGCTCCATGGCCGGGAGGCGCCGTTCTGGCTTCTCCCGGGGCCGGCTCGGAAGCCCCGCGGCGGGGTCAGCGCCGCCACCTGAGCTGCCGGGCAGCTGCGGCGCGCGAGGCGGGCGAGCGACGGAAGGAAGCGGCGGCCGGCGAGGCGCTTCCCAAACCCCCGCCACGAAGGAGCCCCGCGGATCGGCGCCACCCAGCCGGGCTAAGCCGTATTGTTCGCAGCCTCCGCCGCTTATATCGGCCTCCTGCCTCCCGCCCGGACCGTCCCCGGAACGCAGCCAATGAGCAGCGCCGGATGGGCCAAGTGGGCGCGGACAGGCGTCGCCCTCACCTTCCCGCCAGGCTCGCCGAGCCCGCCTCGCCCCGCCGCCCGGCCCCGAGGGGAGGGGGAGGCAGGCGGCCCCCCAGAGCCCAGAGCCGCTCGGGAGCCCCGCGCTCGGCCTCCCGCTTCCCCTCGGTTGCAGCCAATTGGCCAGCGGCGCAAAGCGCGGGGAAACCTGAAACCGTGAAAGAATCCCTGACATTCGACTTCAGCGGAGCTTTTGTGTCCTGGAGGGCCAACCTGGATCCACTGGATCTTGTCACGTAGCAGCAGAGGACGGTTTTTTTGGGGGGGGGGATGGCCCAATCCCCCCTCCCCCCTCCCCATTGAAAAAGGGCCGCTATTTCCTTGTCCTTCCTATAGGCTCCTCTCAGGCCCTCCTAGGGGTGCTGCCTCCCAAAAGGCTGAGGTATGAAGAAAGCCCCAAATGTCTGCGGGGTGGGTGGGTTCCTCGGAGTAATGCTAGAAGTAAGGAACCCAAGGGAACCAACCCAGATAACTGCATAGGATTGTGCTTTGAAGATGCAAAGACACAAAACAACCAAATTCTGAGTCGCACAGAAGCCCCAGGTGAACCAGAAGGAGGCAGATTTCGGTTTGCCACAACTGAGGTGAAGTGAGCATTGCCCAGTAGGACAATTAGATTATACTAGTAGTCCTCAATTTAGAACCATTTGTTTAGTGACCATTTATGTTAAAGTGGCAGTGGGAAAAGTGACTTACAGTGTTGTCTCCCACTTAACCATTGCATCATCCCCAGGGTCATGTGATCAAAATTTAGACACTTGGCCGCTGGCATGTACTTATGATGGTTGCAGTGTCCCTGGGTCATGTGATCATCTGTTGTGTCCTGACAAAGTCAATGGGGAAGCCAGGTTCACTGAACAGCCATGTTACTAACTTAACAACAGCAATGATTCACTTAACAACTGTGGAAGAAAGGTCGTAAAATGGGGCAAAACTCACAACAAATGTCTCGCTTGGCAACAGAAATTTTGGGCTCAATTGTGGTTGTTAGTTGAAGACTTTCTGCATTGTGTTGTGTTTCATTCTCTAAGCATTAAGAGATAGTACCCATCTGTGTGACTATGAACAAGACTGAATACTGAGGCTAACATTAATGGGATCCTAGAGTAGGAAAGAGATAAAATTATTGGTAATTAAATATAATTTGTACATTTATTCATGAAGAATACTACCTGAACACTGAAATAAATGTTGATGAGCAAAACTGCATCTTCTCAATCTGTTCCAGAATCAGATTTTTTTTGCTGTGTTGGTTTAACTGTCGACTACACTAGAGAAAAAGTTCCTGAATACCTTAAAAGATCACATGACAGATTGGTTCAAAATCAGAATATTATTAACTTACTTTTTGGAGAATGAATGCACACACCATTTTTATACACTCCATTTTTGTCCTTTTAATCAGATTTGACTCCCAGCAACTGGTGTCCTGAAGCTTTCTGGATGTTTTCAGAAGTGATTTGCTGTTGCCTTCTTTCTTCAAGAAAGAGTGCTGGCCCAGGTTCAGTTGCTGCCTTGCATGTCAAAAGCAGAACTAGACATGCTAACTCCCAATCCAGCATCTGAATCATAGACCAAGTTATCACATTGCAATGGCATTTTGCTGCTCAGAAACTGAGCTGCAATTCTTTGTTCAACATCACCATCCCCTGGTAAATTGATGGCATTGCATGTGTGTGCAAATCATTGACAACATCGAAAACATCAAGCTGAAAAGCGTTTAGGAAAACTTTTCTGGGCAGCTGCTCAATGGCCAATCTTTTGATTTCCCCATCATTCACCCAATGTTACAGTAAAACAGTGCTCAGCTTCTAAAACAGCGGTTCTCAACCTGGGGGTCGCGACCCCTTTGGGGGTCGAACGGCCATTTCACAGGGGTCGCCAAAGCCCTCTCTCGCCCTTCCCACGCCTTCACTCACCCTCACCCTCACCCTCTGTCTCTGTTGGATCGCCGGTCGCTTACCCCGCCCACTCCCAATCTATTGCTGCCTCCTGAGTCCCAGCTGATGGCTAGAGGGAAACTGTTAAGTTGGGTGAATGAGGACGCAGCAAGCCAGGCAGTGAGTGACAACAGCTCTTCATTGTAGGGTGAGAACCCAGCGACTGACCTAGGGAAATGCTCCCTTTATATACCTTGCAGCTGTGGTGGTCAGCCAATCAGCTGAGGGTCAGTTAATTCAAACTTCCCGCCAAACAAACCTATTTACATAACACTCCTCCCCTCCCAGAAGTCACTTTGGGTTTTATTTACATACAAAGTCTCTCAGGTGACCAGGGCGTGTACGTAGCCTGGTCGACCTGCGCAGTTCAGTCGGAGGGGCGGCGTCGAGCAGGTCGGAGGGACTCCCTGTTTCTCCCTGTTCCGCCAATGGAACCTCCGAGATCTCTTCATGGGCGGCGACTTCTCCGGTTGGCAGAAACTCCTCGTTGGGGCGGCTCCGGATGCCAGGATCGTCAGCTAAGTCCTCCGCTGCGCTCGGGCTTGACTTAGTTTGTTGTTCTGGCTGGTAGTCAGGGAGCGGTTCGTTGAATCTTTCCTCAGCGTCTGTTGCAATTCGCCTTCTCAGTTGATCTATGTGCCTGCGCCAAACTCTCCCGTCCCCCATGTCTACCCTGTACGATTTGGGCCCCGTGATTTCCGTGATCGTTCCTGCTTCCCAGAGTGGGCCCTTTCCGTAGTTCCTGGCGTGGACTGGAGTCCCTATGGTGAACTCCCTGAGTTTCCTCTCCCCCCCCCTTTTGAAAACCTCAGGGGAATAATTGGGATTTAGCCTATCCAGTACCCCTCGGAGCTTCCTCCCCATTAATAGTTCTGCCGGGCTTCGGCCTGTGGCTGTACACGGTGTGGAATGCTGGGCTGTGAGGAATCGATCTATTCTTTTCTGCCAGTCCCCGGGGCCTAGGCGTGAGAGGGCCTCCTTGGCCATTCTTACAAATCTCTCAGCCTGACCATTACTAGCCGGATGGAACGGGGCCGAGAGGACGTGTCTGACCTCCAAATCTGCTAGATATCCCTCGAACTGTGTGGCCATGAATTGGGGCCCATTGTCTGACACTAGGATGTCCGGTAACCCATGGGTAGCAAATAACTGCCTCAGTTCCCTGATAACCGCATCGGTGGTAGTGGCCCTCATGAGCTTAATCTCTAGCCACTTGGAAAAGGCATCGACTACGACCATGAAGGTCTGACCGTGAAACGGTCCCGCGAAATCTATGTAGATCCTGGACCAGGGTCCCTTGGGTCTTTCCCACTCCCTCACCAGTGCTGTCGGTGGATCTGGCCTAGACTCTTGGCAGGGCTGGCATCTCCCCACCCACTCGGTAATGTCTATATCCATGTTGGGCCACCAGATGTAGCTCCTGGCTAGTCCCTTCATCCGTACAATCCCAGGGTGCCCCTCATGCAACAGTGTTAAGACTTTTTCCCTTAGGCACAAGGGAACAATAACCCGTTCGCCCCATAGCAAACACCCCCCTTGCATTGTTAGTTCGTCCCGTTTGCTCGCGTACTGTTTGAATTCCCTGCTCCCAGTCTTTTCCGGCCACCCCCTCGTCACCCAACTTGCGACCGTCCGGATCACGTGGTCTTTGTTTGAGGCTCTGGCTACCTCTGCTGATGTGATGGGCCCTGAGTCCAAAATGTCTATCAGCAGGATGGGGATGCCGGGTGTGGGGTCTTCCAGCTTGTCTGGTAGTCGGCAGCGGCTGAGTGCATCGGCGTTTCCCATGTCTGCCCCTGGTCGATGTACCAGGCGATAGGAGTAGGCTGCGAGGAAGATGGCCCAGCGTGTCATCCTGGGCGATAGGGCTGCCGGTGTTGGTCGGTCTCCTGCGATGAGACCCAGGTGCGGGCGATGGTTGGTGATTAGGTTGAAGTCCCTCCCGAACAGGTACTCGTGGAACTTCTTTACTCCCGAGACGGCGGTGAGGGCCTCTTTGTCAAGCTGACTGTAATTCCTCTCGGCGCTTGACAGAGTTTGGGAGTAGTAGGCGATGGGTGCCTCTAAGCCACTCAGGAGTCTATGGCTCAGGACGGCTCCCATGCCGAAAGGAGACGCATCACATGCTAAAACAAGGGGAAGCGTTGAGTTGTATTGGATCAAGAAACTCTCAGCTGACAGCAATTTCTTGATGTTTGTAAATGCCCTGTCCTTGGCCTTCCCCCATTTCCATATGGACTTTTTGGCTAACAGTCTGTGCAGGGGTTCAGCCACTGTTGCCTTGGCCTTTAAGAAGATTGCATAAAAGTTAAACAGTCCCAGAAACGCCTGTAGTTCCGCCTTGTCTTTAGGGGTAGGGGCCTCTTGGATTGCCCTGATTTTACTCTCGGTGGGGTGTATGCCGGTGCCATCTACTCGGTACCCCAGGAACTCTACGGAGGGGACTGTGATCATGCATTTGTTGCGTTTGACCCAGAGTCCAGCATTTCTGAATTTTTCTAAAACCATTCTCAGCCTCCCCCCCCCAGTTATTGTTCGTCTTCCGCCGTGATGAGTACATCATCGAAATAGGGAACCACCACGGGGATCCCTTGCAGCAGCCGCTCCATTGTACTTTGAAAAGTCCGGGGGCTATGCTGACTCCAAATTGCAGGCGCGTACATTTGAAGGCGCCTCTATGCGTTACGATAGTCTGTGCTTCTGCGGTGGCGCCATCTACCGGCAGCTGCTGGTATGCCTGCGCAAGATCAAGTTTAGCGAAGATCTTGCCGGGGCCCAGGGAATGCAGGAGGTGGTGCACAATTGGGACCGGATAAGCACTTTGTTGCAGAGCCTTATTAATTGTGCATTTATAATCAGCGCATATGCGCACTGACCCGTCCGGTTTCACAGGTGTCACAATTGGGGTCTCCCATTTGG